TCATTACAATCTATTTAAACAAGAAAAATTTCGTGATAAAACTAAATTATCTTACTGAATTGTTGGAAGTGGTTGTTGTACGAAAAGTGTGTACATGCATAAGGTACGAACTGGGGAAAAGAAGAAATGGGTAAAGAGCCATCCTATCAGAAGAAATCTTTTATTCTGCCATGAAGGAGAATGCTAGACAAAATTAAGGGAATAAAACTTCACAAGAATCAAATCATTTACACATAAGGATGATTGGTTAAAGATGTGGACATGTTAACTGACCACATAAACTCTATATGAAACACTAACACAAGATGGCAGAAGAATGCCTGTGTAAATGTAGGCTACAAAAATAGATCAAGGAAAGTTAAAGCTATTCTAACAGGTATGATTCATCATGTTCAGGTGCAACATTTTTAGATTTTGTTTGTTGTCTGTTATAACAACAATACATAATTTTTATGGAGTATTTATAAAATACCTAAAAAAAAGGAAAAATCATCCATTGTCCCATCATCAAACAGAAATTAGTTAATACTGTATTCATTTTTGTTTATCTACACATAGAATTTTTGAATTTTCACAGTTGTGGTAACACCCTATATACAATTCTGTATTATTTTAAAAGCTTCACAGCAATCTAACTAAATGTACCTCAGCTTATTCAACTGTTTTTAGACTTTTAGGAGGTTTAAAATTTTCCATAAAAACAAGCTAGGCAAAATACTGATCACTGTTAAAGATGGGTCATGAGCAATGGGGGTCGTTTACCTATTCTACTTTTGTGTATGTTAAAAATTTCCATTATAAAAAGTTTAAATATTTTCACTATTATACCTAATGCTATAATACCACCTTTCTGCCTATTTTCTGCATTAGGATTATTTCCTGAGAAAATTTTCAGATGTGCATTTGTGAAATGAAGCAAATGACAATTCTGAGCCTCATGACATATAGTTCCATTGCTTTCCAAAATGATTGTATCAAATTGTACCTTCACTTGACCCAAGGTACTCACTTCACCAAGCACTCACATCACTTAAAAAGACCTTCCTTGTATGACTGATGAAAAATGCTTTATGTTATTATTACAGTCTGCATTTGATTCTAAGAAAATTGTGCTTCTCTGGGGAATTATCTGCTCAACAAATAACTGATGTCAATTGAGTGCTTACTATGTGCCAGGTAGCATGCTAAATATTTTTCATACTACACCTCTTTTCATCCCACAAGCACTTGGAGATTAGTGTGATTATCCCATTTTCAGATGAAAAAATGGAGGCTTAGAGAAGTTAAGGGACTTATCTAAAGGCACATACTTAAATCGGCACAGCCTAGGATTGCAATTCAAGTTTGTATAACTTGAGAACTGTATTGCTTACAAATGTATTTTAAGAACCCAGTTTTGTGAACATCTCGGAAAAATGGGAGTGAATCCAGAGGAGACCAAAATGAATGACTTTAGATGTGAAGCCATATATAGACATGTTCCAAGTGGAGGAACACAAGAACAGGAACCCAAAGAGTTTGAGAGGGTAAATGGCAGCTGGTTTTCGAATGTGGGAATGGTTGAGCATGGTTCTTAATAAAACCAGACGATGACGAAGACCTTAGTTCCGCGTCCTGCCGCCGCCCCCCACCCCCCACCTCCGGCGAAATGGAGACAGGCTGCTCTGCGAGGTTCTGAGCTCCTGTGTCTAAAGTGTGCCATCAAAGCCAGATCCTGGAGATGTACCCTCTATATTAACTCCGGGACTCGAGGGGGCTAAATTCGTAAACAAACTTAAACTGGAGCTCTTTCTCTCTCCAACAATTTCCCGGGGATGCTCCAGGATTAGGGTTTTCTAAGTGGGGAAATCAAAGGACCCCAAGGCGGTCCTCCAGAAGCTTCGCCGCCACCTCGGGTGCTGTCCGGGGTAGGACGCAGCGTGGGCCGCCAGAGCACTCGACCCGACTTCAGGAACTGAGAAACCTCAGCTGACATGGTCCGTAGACGACCAAGACCTGGCTAGAGCGAAGGCAGCCTCCCCAGCCGGAGCCTGAAGCGTGACAAGCCCACCCTTGCCTCCCCGGGGCTAGTCTGTGAGCGATTACCTGCAAAGGCAGGCGCTGCTCCATCTCACTTTTCCGCGCGCCGCCACCGCCGCCACCGCCGCCACCGCGCCCCGCCCGCCTCTCGCCCGCCTCTCGCCCGCCTCTCGCCCGCCGCCGCCGCGCACACCACGCAAGCGCGAGGCTTCACACCACCGACAACGGGAGGACCACATTGCTAGAGCGGCCGACCGCTTCTCTAGAGGTCTGAAGAATTTGGCAGAGGCTTATAACCTTCCTGGATGCCGGGACCTGGAGCCATACCGGGCTGCCTTCTAGTGTCGAGCCTTTGAACTCAGCGGGGTAGGAAGTTTTCTGTTGCTCCACAATACTGAGGGCAGGCAATAACTGCTAGAAAGGTCAGCACGTTTTGATCAATAATATCAATAACGACAGTTTACGTTTTAGAGTGCTTATTCTGGGTTGGACACCTTTATGTGTATTATCTTTGTCTTCCCAAGAACCTTTTAGGTTAAGTACATTTGTTTTCTTGATGAGAAAACTAGAGCACAGTGGGGTGGCAGTAATACACCCCTAAGAGCACATAACAAGACTCGAGCCAAGATACAAATCCAGGCCTTCATGAAGCACTTTGATTCCGCCCAGAGATACAAACACAGGTAAAAAGACCATAAAATGCAATTAATTTCTTTTTTAGTAGCTTCCCTCCTCTAGCAGGCATCTTTCTAAAAACATAGCCTTATCTTTCTCTGAACTCTGCATGAATCAAGGAGTAAAGAGCAGGGGCACTCTATTCAAACAGATCTAGGTTACAATCCAGGCTGCACCACTAAGTAGCCCAGTGACCTTGAGCAGATTTTCTCTATGCCTTTTTTTTCTGCAACAGCAATTACTTGTTGAGCTCCCCTGTGTGCCTGGCATAGTGCTAGGCACTAGGATTACAGTATTAAACAAAACAGATAAAAGGTCCTTGCTTTGTTGGAGTGCATATGTTAATAGGGAGAGTAGATAATACATATTAAATAAAATAGGATAATATCAGGTAGTGATTATTGGGGGAGGGAGTCAGTGTTAAATTAGAGCTGAGGCCTGAAGAATAAGAAGCCTGCATACAAAAATCACAATCAGAGAAACATTTGCTCACTGTTTTAAGGTACCATTCTACACAGCTAAGAACAGATCAGCTTCATGCTCTCAAGAAACTGGCATTCCAGTGTATCCGAGTATGGGAGGCAGGGATGGAAACAATAAAATAAAGCAAGGTGGTGTAAGAATAAGGGATTCAGTAGGGGCTAATTTTGAGTGGTTGATGAGGGAAGTGTTCTTTGAGGTGGTGGCATTGAAGCTGAATATTTGTGTTTAATAAGGAGCCACCCTTGTGAGGATCTGGGAGAAGAGTGTTTCAGCAGAGAAAGCAGCTAGAACAAAGGCCCTAGACAGGAACGAGCTTGGTGTACTCGAAAAAGACAAAGGAATGCAGTTTTGCTGGGACATGGCAAGGAGTATATTGACTGAGTGAACATACATATCGTATAAGGTTTTCTTTGAAAAAAATTTTCCAACATCATTGAGACATACAAGGTTTTTATAATCTACCATAGAGTTGGGATTTTATTCTAAGTGCAATAAAAAGCCATTTGGGGCCTTCTGAGCAGGGGAATGATATGATCTGGTATGTTTGTCAAAAATCATGGCGGTGGGGTGGGCAGGCGTGAACGAGAGATATTGCGAGTGCTGACCGGGAGACCAGTTAGCCAGGTGGGGGATGATGTACCTTAGCCCAGAGAATTAGTGGCAAATAGTGGACAGATTCAGGTTATAGTTTAAAGGTAATCATTTAGATAGGGGATGCAACACAGCAATCAAGGTACACACCTAGAGTTTTGTCGTGAACAAGCTAGGTGGTGCGTTTACTGAGATGAGCAAAAAAAGTAGGTGGGGTTGTGGGGAATCCGAGTTCTCTGAACTAAAAATAGTTATTCACTGCGTGCTTACTATGTGCCAGACACTGTGCTAGACGGTTTAAAGATTTTTCTCCTATTAAAATGTCCCAACAATGCCCTGGCTGGTGTAGCTCAGTGGACTGAGTGCGGGCGAGCAAACCAAAAGATAGCCCGTTCAATTCCAGTTAGGGCACATGCTTGGGTTGCGGGCCAGGGGTCCCCCAGTTGGGGGCGAACGAACCAATCAATATAGCTCACACAACGACGTTTCTCTCCCTCTCTTTCTCCCTTCCTTCCCCTCTCTCTTAAATAAGTAAAATATTTTTTAAAATAGAAAGAAAATGTCACAACACTGCCAGTAAATATATCAAATCTGTAAATAAAGAAGCTTAGGCTCAGACTGGTGGGTAAGGAGCGTGGGTTTCTCACCGCTAAGTGGTGGAAGCTGAATCCGAACTTCAGTCTGTCCGTCTCCACGGGCTCTTCTCTGTGAAACCGAGGCCATATCTTCCCGAGCTGTTAGAAGGTAAAATAAGATTTGAAAAGGGTGTTCGCAGTACCAGGGGCTTGCAGTGATTGTCCCCTCCCATTTCGCCCCGGTCCCTCCGGTGCCGCATCCGGCCTGTAGTCCCAGATGAATGAAATTCCGAGACTGGTAAAGGAGATCAAATTTGCTTCCTGCAATTGGTCAGAGTTGAAGGGGAAGCCTCGTGATTGGGTGAAAGTCAGAGGCGGGCTGGGTATCTTCTGGTACCTTAGATACCCTCTTGGGGCACTGATTTCCCCGCCGCCCTTTTACGTAGTTTTCTACGACTCCCAGGAGCGGGTGCTGAGCGGATTCCAGCGGCGGCGCGACTCTCTGACGTTTCCTTTCCTAATTGGCTAGGAATTGGGACTGCAGTTCCGAAGCCTAACTGGCCGTCCCAGCCGCCTCGAAGGTGAAGTGTACTGCGCTGATTGGCTACGCCAAGCCGGCCGCGTGTGATGTCCTGAGCAGCGATTGGCTCTCATCTGCTAGGGGGCTTCTCTCACCGGGACACGGGACTCCCGGGAAGTGGACTGGCAGGAGAGGGGGCCCGCTTGCGTCGCTCCTGACCCAGTAGAAGACCCCGGCGCGAGGCGGCCTTTCAGGGCCGGGTGGGCAGGCGAGCCGACGCGGCGGCTGCAGCTGCGGAGACAGTGAGGAGTGTGTGGGAGAGGGGCCGGCATAGGGGTTGGCACAGAGAAACCATGGCCCCGCAAAACCTGGGCACCTTCTGCCTGTTGCTGCTGTACCTCATCGGGGCCGTGATCGCCGGGTGAGGAACGGGCACCCGCGCGGCACAGGGCTCGTGAGTCAATCTTGGCTGGGGAAGACTGGAAGGAGGAGGGGGCGTTGGTTGCTATGGTGAGACGGTGGGGCGGTGGGGACGGTGTGGACCAGGTTGTTGGGGTGGAGAGGAGGGCAATGGGTGACATGAGTGACAGGGACTTACTTACATTTAGATGTCCTATAGCGCTAGATTTGTCGGGAGTGGTGGGAGTTGGATGCAGTGCCAAACACAACGCAGGGGGAGAAGGGCAGCTGAGCTGGAGAAGAGGACGATATAACATTGAGGCTGCAACGAGCCATTGGGGAGTTGACATTAAAGCAGGTGGGTTAGTGCCAGGCTGAGAGAGGAAGTGAGCAGAACAGGTAGGGAAGCCTTGCTAGGACAGAAGAAAATTAAGTTGAGGAAACCAAGGTAGACCCTTTGGAAAGCCCTTGTACAGCTTCTTGATACTTTCAGCCTAAGCTGTCATTATGCCTCACAGTCTCTCTCCATGGTACATTTTGAGAAGCTGAATGGTATTATGAGCTAGAAGAGCATTTCACCAACAGGTAGTAGACCGGGATTCTAGCCCTCCCACCCCCACCACACTTCTGAATTATGTGACCTTGAAGGAACCACCTAAACTCACATCTGTAACATGAGAATAATAATGTGTCTCCTATATGAAGGGAGTAGGACCACCTGAACTCTTGAGGATCCTTCCAGCCTTTAAGATCCATGATGTTATAAGCCTTGTGACCACAGGATATGATGTGCCAGGCTTATATTTTAGAATGTGGGGGAATAGTAAGGTCTTAGCTTCTAACAGTTAATAGGTTGCTCTAAATGGAGACAGTCTTATCTAGCAAAGCTTTGAAATTGAAGTCCTTGTTATTTTCTTAAAAAGACTTTTCCCCTGTGCATATGTGCTTAAACTTTGTCATTTTTTTCTTGTAAAACATCTTAACTTTAAAAAACATTTACCTTCTCCTAGGTCATGCTTTATTGGTTTTGTTAGTACTTTTTACAGTTAAAGCAACAAGTACACTACGGTGTTTAAACAAAATATCTATATAAATATTGTTAATAATGTAGCTTTATAGCCCCGGTTGGTGTGGCTTGGTTGGGCATCATCCTGCAAACCGAAAGGTCATGGTTTCAATTCTCAGTCAGGGCACCTGCCTGCGTTGCAGGTTCAATTCGGTTGGGGGCTGTATAGAAGGCAACCAATCAATGTCTCTCTCTCACATCAATGTTTCTCTCCCTCTCTTTCTCATTCCCTTCCTTTCTCTCTAAAATCAAAAATAAAAATTAAATTAAAAAAATTTTCACTTTTAAAAATGTATTATATAACTTTTCCATGAAGTATCCCTTCCTTTTCAATCTCCAGGAGAGATTTCTATAAGATCTTGGGGGTGCCTCGCAGTGCCTCTATAAAGGACATTAAAAAGGCCTACAGGAAACTAGCCCTGCAGCTTCATCCTGACCGGAACCCTGATGATCCACGAGCACAGGAAAAATTCCAGGATCTGGGTGCTGCTTATGAGGTATGTCAGGAAAAAGGATAAAGTATGAATAAAACCTACAGATATAGAAAAGACTGTAACATGGGGAAACACTCTCTTCTTTCAGGCCATTTCTTTTTAAAAATAGACATTAGATAAAAGTAAAAGTAGTATTTGATACTATATTGTATAATAGTGTTTATACATGCCATTTTTTGCCTTTTTGATATTAATATATGTTTTATTAAGGGGAGTAATGTTGAAAAAGATGATTGAAAGGATGTTAGATTGATAGGTTAATAAATAGATTGATCATCAATCAGTTTGGCAGCTGGTGCCAGAAACAGAAACAAAATCTGAATGAGGATTGCAAATCTGCATACCTATATCGACCAGACAGATAACTAGCAGGACAGGTATAAGATAAATTATGACAGTGAATATTCTGTTTCCCGTGTTGGGAATCAATAAGGATTGATGAGGACTGTGACAAACTGAAGCCTCCTTGACCCATTTCAAGGGAGCAGCTGTTACTCAGTCCCATCCAGTTTTTACCATATAAAAATGCAAAGTGCTGTTGCCAGATCATGTAATATTTCAAGAGAAGTGGAAATCCAGACTTTTAAGTAAATTCTCTTGTAAAATTTTGGTAACTAATTCAATTTTAAAATTTCATATTTGTGCAGATCAAACAAAACAACTATAGTTTAAGTTTGCAACCTTTAATCTAGAAGTCAAAACACTTTCTTGTGTACCATCTCATTTACTTTTCACTAGGACACCATGAAATATAGTAGAACTGGGCATATACTTACTCCCATTTTCTTTGAGGAATACTTATTGAATGCTTAATAAATTATTTACTATTTGAAAACCTGTTATACACAGAACCTTTCAACACTAGGGTAAAAATATTTTACAAATAAGCTATTGATAATTTTTTATATCAATTAATGTAGGAGGTAGCTGTTTTGCATGTGGTGCAATTCACCTTCCCTCTAGAAATAGAATAAGACATCTGTGGTTTTGTTTTTGTTTAGCTTTATTGAGATACAATTGACAAAATTGTAGATTTTTAAAGTGTTCATCATAACGATCTAGAATATGTATACATTGTGAAAGGATTCCATTCATCCAGTTAACACGTTCATCACCTCACATATTTATCTTTTTTTTTTTGTAAGGATATTTTGGTTCTGCTTTCTTAGCAAATTTCAGTTGTACAATATAGTGTTATCAACTCTAGTCACCTTTATTTCCATTTTCTAAAAGGGCACAGAAAAAAATTTAACTCCAAACATTATGAAGCTAAAACTTCTGAATTCAAGTTAAATTTCTGTATAGTGAGAAGGCTAGAAACAAATCTGAAAAATATTAGTAGTGGAAAAAACCCAAAGGAAGGGAACCCATGGCCTCCTTGATGAAAGAAGTGAACGAACTAAAACAGAGACTTACACCTATGTGAGACCTAGAACTACTGGGGTCCCCCTTTCTTCTCTTGGTACCTTCAAGGATTCTATGGAATCCAAATTTCTAACCTCAGGCCCACAAATAAATGTGTTGGTGGACCCTCTTACATTATATGTAACATTTTGTTTCTTGTTGATAATATGGATTCCATATTTTTGCACTAAATTTCCCGGGAATATTCCCATTGTTTGCTGGGAACTCAATACCCAAAAATATTTTCCATGAATGCTGTTGCTATAAATTTACCAAGTTCTTTAAAGAATCTATCATGTTCTTTAGCCATAACCTAGGTAGGTTCATTCATAAGATTGCAGTTTTATTTAACTCTCAGAACCTTTCTAAGTCACAAGTTCAGTTTTTTTGTTTTATTTATTTATTTATTTATTTTTTATTCACTTGATTGCTTTTGTCTTAGATACATTAGAGCTGTAAAGTTGAAGAGTGAGCACAAATCTGTCTTTTTGACTGAGCTGGGATTACTGCATTTTAATTAGTCAACACTCTGTGGGTTGTTGACCAATCAAATAATTACCTTTTTTAATTTCTTTTAGAAATAAAATGGTTTCTGAGATCATAAAATTAAATTGCATTCCTTAGAAGAAAAGTAAGGGGGAAGTGAATAATAATAGATAGCTTGAAGGGTAGTTTTGGGAGAGTTATTATAGAAGCCTCTGATGTCTGAAAAGAAACTGACTACAAAGTAGTCTTTGTTTGGGGGTTTTGAAATGGTGTTTCTTATAGATCCAAATGCAGGCTTCATTTCTTTTTTAAGACAAGATCAGAGAAATCGACTTGAAAGGGGAAATATTGGAAATCCAAACTACATGATAATGTCTTTCTTTGTTGTTTTTAAAAGTTAACTCTGCCCATTTCTACTTTTCCAAAGTAGCTACTTCTTTTCAAGATATTTACCAAAACATTCCTTCCTCTTACCTGGTCTGTCATAGTGACTTTAGTTAAATACTGTAGTCACTTTTGGACTAACCCATTTGTCTTTGCTTTTAAGAATGCTCACTTTCACGTACACTCAATTTTTTTTTTATTTTTCTAAATATATTTTAAATGTTAACGAGTGTTTGCTGAGCCCCTTGCACATCATTTAGGCCTTGAGCCAAAGGTGTGTCCTGTTTACTTATGGCTGTCAGACCTTCCCTTTCTTTTGCTAAGTCAATAAGCTGCATCTACCTCCAATCTCTCTTCTTCTGAGCCAGCACAGGTATGGCTTTGCAATAACTTTCTCCTTCAGTCTGCTGTTTAAATAGGAGTTAAAAATATCAAGGAAAGAGTATACATCAATTTAATTTTCAAAGGTGTTTGTGGGCATATACTTCAGATTGCTCTAAATACGCGAGAAGCTTTTCTTTTTGCAGAGGAAGGAAAATTCTGAAGGGTATGGAAGCTTATTTTGTTTTTACATTCTTTAGTATTATGTGTGGAGTGGGCCCAATAAGAAAGCATATACCTTTGACTGTGCGTGTAGTTTTCTAAAACCATTAAAATTTCAAAAAGTCTTTCTAAGCTGTGAAATTGACCTTGAGCAACCTTCACAGAGCAGTGTCCCATTTTACTCTCTGCAGTTCAAACACAGGAGATTATGAACTTAAATGTATATGTGGCAGACAGCATTCTTTCAAAAATGGTTTTCTACATACCCACCAAAATGGAAAAGGAGGGTCTATCATTTGATTTCCTTGATTTGTTAGTCTTGTGTTTGGGGAGGGGGACATAGTTGGGACATGCAGGCTTAAGCGATTTTAAGGCTGTCCTAATTTACTGTTTCTGGCACTGAGGAGCCTGTCATAGTCATATCCTAGTTTATATTTTAGAGAAAGAACATAGCATAGTGGTCAGTAGCATGAGCAGTGGAGTCGTACCGCACGGGAGTAAACCAGAGGATTTCATCTCAGGTCTTTCCTGTTACTGTCCTCACCATCATAGCCACATTGTTAATCTGAGATATGATTTTTATGTGACTAGGTGAGTTTGGATAAATCTAAATTAAAAACAGAAATTGAGCAGTCTGAAGTTACAAAAATGAATGATGCGTCACAGAATTTGTCTGCTAAAGAGAATATAAACATGCCTTAATATCGTACATAATGAAAACTACATTCATTAAAATCTTAGACACAGTATCAGAGTTTTAAAAAACCATAAATATGAATGTGCCTTATCAGAACATTACCATCTCATGATCTTTTTTGTCCCCAGGTTCTGTCAGACAGTGAGAAGCGGAAACAATATGATACTTACGGTGAAGAGGGATTAAAAGATGGTCATCAGAGCTCCCATGGAGACATTTTTTCACAGTATGTAATTTACCCATCTGCAAAGTAGTTGTGCCTAACATGGATCATTTGTGATTATTAAAGAATTATCCTTGCTCCCTTGTTCAGAAGCTTTTGATGAAAAGTGCAACTCACCTGATCCTTGACTAAAAGGTCAGGCATCATCTTCATTGTGGGAATGTCCTCTCCCATTTTCACAAAGCTCCAGAAAAGACAGGTAGCACTGAAAGGGCTGTCTGTCTAGCCAACTGTATCAGTGAACTGAATCTTGACAATGTTGTGGGGGAGATACATGTTGGAAACCAGTTTGTCATCATCTCCCTGCAGTCTTAGCATTTGCAAACCACTTAATGAGAAAAGCTATTCTTGTAAGCAGAGAGAGAGGGAGAGAAGAGAAATTCCTACTCCTGTCCTAGAGCTGCCTCTCTTTTATCCTGTCAGCACAAGAGGGACAGTTACGGTAGCCAGCATTCAGGAAAGGAATTAGGTTAGAGGCTCTTTATCTCCTGCCGTGAGGTGGCTTTCTGGAAGTGCTGAGTGGCTGGAATAGTAAACACCTTTCCTTTCCGCTCTTTGAACCCCTCTTTGTTGAGCATTTGAATTTCCATATGCCATAATGATGTCCTGTACTAGGAGAGCTTAATTTAGGGTTTCAAATCAAGTTATAAACAAAATAATGTTTGAGCATGCATTTCTGTGGGGAGAGGGTTTATTGCTTTCTTCAGATTCTCAAAGGGTTTATGAGCCCTTCTCCAAAAGAAGTTAAGAGTCACTGTTGGATACAATAGTGTTTGGAGGTGACAGTAGATTTTCAGGACTTGTGAAGATATGTGAGTAATATGATTAGGAAATCCTTTCCTTCCCCGGGGTTGATTTGGGTTTAGCCTGCTAGGGAAGTGTCCTGTTCCCCTTCGCAGTTAGAAGTGATCCCCAGAGAGGCCAAAACAAAAAAACTTGGTACCACCGGGTGCTCCCCACCTAACCCCCAGCCAATCCTCCCTCTCTGCTTTTATTTAAGATTCAGCGATTTTACAATTCCCTGATTTATTTTAAGATTCACCAAGATTGGTTGGCAGGGGAAGTTATATATTTGTCATCATCACTGTGCTAACACCTGAGGCTTAATAACACCAAAAACTGCCATTAGATTAGGCCTGCACAGCTAGAGGTCACTGTTTGTATTAATCTCTCAGAGAAGCTTCTGTTACCTAAAAAAATTAATTTTGATTTTTACAGAGACCAGAACTTCCTTTTCCTAAGGTTTAGAAATTACTAAGGCTGATGCTTATTTAGTTTATTTAATTATGTACCCAAGATTTTTGTACAGAGCAGTAGCTTTCACAAAAGTTAGTCTAACAAGCATATAAAGTAAACATTGCAAATGTTCAAAATGACCATTAGGTTCAAAATAACATGGTTAATATATACTGTATTCTTTCTCAATGAGCCCATTCCATACTGATGTTTCTTAATTTTGAAACATCATTTCATTGATTAAGCCTAACTTTGAATTCATTGGTATACTATATATATGCACTGTATTATATATCTGGACAATAGTAAATTTTTGTTGCTGTTGTGGGGGCAATATAGTTGATATTGTATTAGTTAAAAATTGTGTATGATATGTGGCTCCAGTATATTAAAAATATTTTTCAGTGTTGTACCATATGTTGGTAGGATACAATATTTTATGAATGTGAAGAAAACTAAATAATTGTAAGACATGAACTCTTTTCCTGTTAATTTTACATTTATCTACAGCTTCTTTGGAGATTTTGGTTTCATGTTTGGAGGAACCCCTCGCCAGCAGGACAGAAATATTCCAAGAGGAAGTGATATTATTGTAGATCTAGAAGTCACTTTGGAAGAAGTGTATGCAGGAAATTTTGTGGAAGTAAGTTCCAACAATATAGCTATCGGTATTGACTCCCAGAACTTGTTGCTTTGACTAAAAAGAAAGGGTTTCTGGGCGCCTTCTCTGTCTTTTAGGGGGTGAAGAGAGTGACCAGATGTGTAGGGTTGCACTGATCCTAATCCTTGGTTCATGATACACTGTTACTGTGTCGTGAACTCATCACCCAGCCCAAGAGCTCGAGGAAACAACACCGCCATTTACATCTACCCATGTGCTGCTTCCCTGTTGCATTCCCTGGCCTCCCTTCAAATGTAGCTGCTAACCTGAAATTTGTCTTTATTATTCCCTTGCCATTCTTGCTTGTTGTATTAAATATGTGAATATCTGATTACTATATTGTTTATCTTCATTGTTTTTGACTTTGTAAAAATCATATCATACTGTATATTGTCTTCTGAGACTGGCTTTTTTCATCCATGTTGTTGCTTATAGCTGTAATTCTACTGACTAGAATTTCACTGTGACCACAATGTATCAATAGGCAATTAGGTTATTTCCAGTTTTTTTCAATTTCAAACTTCTTTTATGAACATTTTTGTGTATATACCTGAGTAGATATAGCAGGAATTTCTCTTGGGTTTATATGTAAGAGTGGAATTGCTGGATAATATGAACCAGCGTTCATCTGTACAAGATAATACCATATTGTTTTCTTATTTGATTGGTACCAACACTTCTGCTTGCAGTTTATAAAAGATTCTATAGATCTGCCCACTTCTTCAATACTTTGAATTATTAGACTTCTCAGTTTTCAACCAAAAAATGGGTATCAAATGTTATTCTATTGTGGTGTAATTTGCATTTTTTATTTATAATTAGGATAAGCATCTTCATGTTTATTGACCATATTTGTTTCCTGTCTTGTGAAATGTTCTTTTGTGTCTTTCGCCCATTTTCCTTCTGATCTGTTCCTATTGATTTCTAAGAAAAGTTTATTCTTATTACTAATCCTTTGTTGGCTGCATGTAATACAAATGTATCCTATCAGTTTGTAACCTGTTTTTTCATTATATTGAAGATTTATTTAAATGAACATAAATAATTCATTTTAATGTGGTAAATTTATCAGTGTTTTCTTTTATGGTTAGTGTTTGTGTCTTGTTTAAGAACTTCCGTGCTCTAAAATCAGAAAGCAGTTCATATATATTTTTTACTAAAACTTTGGAATTTTTCAATCTGTGGTTATTCATCTTTGTTAATTCTAGACAATTTATCTCTACTATATTTTCAGATATTTAAACCATTGGCACTTCTACCTCTATCTGTTCTTAACTTTCTTTTAAATGTTAAAAAATATTTTTATCCTCCCCTGCTTCCTTCTAGGAGAGTGCCTCATGGTCTCCCAGCTCACTATTTCAGTCTTCAGTCAGCTTATATTTTAATGCATAATATTTCTACTGGATTCTTGAATTATTTCGTACTCTTTCATTTTGCTAATGTCTTTCCTTATCTCCTTCAGTATTAATTTCTTAGACTGTCTTCTCCAGTAGACTTGCTTAAAGGACATGTGCTGCCCAGCTTGTTATCTTTGGGGGGGCATGGTAGATCGTTGGAGTCCTCAGGTCTCTTAACCTTTTTAGTCTTTGAGACTCAGATGCCCCCTTTGGGTATTGACCACTCCCTTCCCTTACAGAACATACAGGGCAAGCTTACCTAGTGGTTTTCACCGTGTTTTGTTTTCTTGGAGTTTTCGTTTGCTGTCTGAGGTCTGTTGTTTTCTGGGGAAGGGGCCAGATGGTACTTGTCCTGAGGCAGTTCAGGAACGAGACAATGGCAGAACTTCAACTGCTTTTTTCCAGCGTCCTCACTGCCCTCACTGCCCCTGCCGGCTCCTGTTGCCCCTGTACACGCCAGTTCAAAACAGCCTTCTGTCTCTGGAGTTTTCTCATACATTTTGTGTTATCGTTATTGTTTCCAGGAATTCGTGTTTTCTTATAATTTTGCCAGGATTTTGGAGGAGATAGCAGTAGCCTATGCTTATGTGCCATCTCGACAAGAAGTAATTTCTTCTTAGTTGTGGCTTTTGCTCAGAATAGCTGAAACAAGACTAGAGAATTACAGAAGATGTAACTGGCTTGTAATACTGTTTTTCAGTCTGAAGAATGGGAGTAAAAGGCATTTAAAGTATGTGGGCCATCCCTCTTTCGAAAGCAGGATAGGTTGTACAGGTGGAAGAAAAGCAGTGAGCCTAATTAACTTCCGTGTTTCCCTCCAGACTTGTTGTCTGCAGTCATTGCTAATACACGGTATTCCTCACTTTTTGCAGTTAGTGTGGTTTTAAACAAATTCTTTTTAATCTAATTATCGTAGAGGATGTAAGTTACTATTTAGATGAACCAATAGTAAATTCTTTTTTTAAGAAAAAAATACTTTAAGAGAACATAGTGGTTAAAAACACGGACTCTGGAGCCAGACTGCCTGGTTTAGAATCCTGACTCTGACGTTCATCAGGCGTGTGACCTTCGTCATGTTACTGAACTTTGTGTGCATCCATTACGTCCTCTGTAAAGTGGAAATAACAGCAGTGTCTACCTCATAAGGTTGTTGTGAGGATTAAATGAGTTCATATATATAAAAGCGATTAGAGCATTGCTTGGCACATAGTAAGTGCTACAAAGTATTTGCTCTAATTCCTGTTATTTGTTCTGTCCTGGGCTTTCGTGTGTTGGTAGGGAGAGGGTTTCAGTGATGAGTCTCCAGGCCTTTGTGTCATCCTGCTGCGTGAGCACATGCTTTGGGATTAGGTGTTCGACTAATTAACCAGATAAAAGCAAGAATACATATCTCCGTATATATTAATTTCCACATACTTAGAGGGATCAGAACGTTTGATTACAGTCACCTGCAAAGAGATGCTCATTGTATATCTTCTTATGTGCTGAAGTATCTGAATTGAGATGGCACTGGAAGCAGTCCTAGAATGAGTTGCCTGAAACAGGAATTGTTTTCATTAGGTTAATCAGAGCTAATGTTCTGGCAGCAGCCACATATCAGCTCTTAGAGGCTGTGGTTGTTCTTCACGGGTTATGCATGACACAGCTCAGATTTCCAAAAGATAAGTTAATTCTGTGAACTACTTTAAATCAGTAGTACTTATTTGTGGCTTAAAAATGCTGATGTATTTCACATTTTTCTGTTCTTTCTCAATTCCCCCTCTCTTCTCCAACTTTAGAATTTGAGTCATTTGAACATCTGTCTGTTTCATTACTGTTTGAGGGCTGATTTGCAACTCCTTAAGTACTTCTCTCAGCTCAGGTCTTCCTGAGGGACAGCTTACCAGAGAAAGGGAAGTTCCAGCTCTGGCACATGTACAGAGCCCTGGTCAGTTGAGGAAGACAAAGGCTGTTCTGCGTGAGAGGGAAGCTGATATTGTTTATATACTTCTTAGGTAGTTAGAAACAAACCTGTGGCAAGGCAGGCTCCTGGCAAACGAAAATGCAACTGTCGGCAAGAGATGCGGACCACCCAGCTGGGCCCAGGGCGCTTCCAGATGACCCAGGAGGTGGTCTGCGATGAGTGCCCTAATGTGAAGTAAGTGACAATTGTTCTACCAAAAGACACTTTAATCATCTCATTTGTCTGATAAAATGCTAATGCTCCATTCCTAGATATTTTTCCTCCCTCCCCTCACTCTTCTCTCTCTCATGTTCTGCCAGAGGATAGAACAAAGAAATGTACATCTTAATTTTTTCCAAAGGTATTTCTTCTAAATATTTCCTTCTACGTTTCTGAACTAACATGCCGTGGACTATATCTCTGAATATACCTGATACATGTTTGATGTTTCATTTTTCCTACTTGGAATATTAGAACAATATTACATGTCCAGCTAACATTTCAGGTTAGAGAAGTACTATTTGCTAATTGTTTTATAAATACAACAATTTAATTGAACCTTAAATTGTATATACCAAACTAGATCAGCTGTTTGTGAGATCAGGAAAAAAAAATCATATAGGATAAACTCGCCTGCTAGATTCCTGATAAACATGACCTTGTCCTTCCAGATGCAAATGTGTGTAAGCGTGAGCAGTTTTCTCTGTTTTGGATCACACAGTTCAAAGTGATCAGTCTACTGCAGGTGTTTTTGGAGGCAGCGATTAAATGATTGTATACTATGTAGTAGCTTTGTCCTGTTTGGGCATGTAGAAGATGTCCTTGGGTATCAGATAGTTTTGTCAGCTAGAGATACAGGATAGTCTTTCCAAGGAAAAGCTCTGATAGAATGGATGAGACTTTATTTGTGTTTGGTTTGTATTTTCTTTTCTTTTTTTTTCACTTTAAATTCTCTTTATCTCAGACTAGTGAATGAAGAACGAACACTGGAGGTAGAAATAGAGCCTGGGGTGAGAGATGGCATGGAGTACCCCTTTATTGGAGAAGGTAAAATATTGATATTGATGTTTTATTATTATAATTTTCTGCTCTCTGTTTGCTTGTGATGAGTACCACCCATATCTCACCTCATCCCATGTCCTTACTGGCCATAGTAAAGGCACATATTATTTCCAACACTCTTTAAGTCCGTTTTAGGATACAGAAAGATTGTTATGACCGTCATGGTTGGTTACCTTAAGCAGTAGCATTACTGTTTATCCTTTGAATATCATGTTTAAAAGTTCTATCAAGTAGCCTAAGTTATATTAATTTAGGGTGTTCAGAACTTAATGGAGTAATTTTAACTCAATGAAAGAAGCTATGTAACTCTAGTTGGCATTAGTAAGGTACTCTGAGACCTTACCTTTGGGGCTACATTTAAAACTGTCAAAGAAAAAAAGGCTCTAAGACTTCAGGTTCAAGAAATCAATGAATCATTCTCTGTTTAGGAAATAGGTCAAGTTATCTATTGCTGTGCCTGAGGTACAGCTGATCTTCAGAAACTTTATATAACTGGGTAGAGACACTGCTCTCACAGATAGTTGACACCTTAGGTAGGATTTTTAAAATATCCTCTCAGCTGCCAAATAGGTGTGCAGTGGTAGACAGGTGTGGCTCACAATCTGCTCTAACCTTTTTTGACTAGGCGAGCCTCACGTGGATGGAGAACCAGGAGACTTACGGTTCCGAATCAAAGTTGTCAAGTGAGTAACCTAAGTTTAGAGGCCTTCACTTCAGCCCTTGCTTTTCACCTGTGTCAGATTATAGAAATATGGGTAGACACCAGAGCACTTCCAGACTTTTTCCTCTGTTTAATGTCCTTAGTACCCTCAAGGATTACTTGTAACTCTACAAAAATGCTGAAAATTTTGGATTGGGGCCTAGGATTGAGCTTAGTTATATATTTTCTCTGGACCTACAAATTCAAAAGAGGTTAGAAGGAAAGAGTTAATAAGACAAGTAAGGAGTTGTTAAAGAGATGCAAACAAGAATGGGAAGTCTAGGAGGCCTGAGATTTTAACTGAGGAAATATGGTACCCTCCAAGAATGGGAGACTTCTCCTTAGAAAGGGCCTTCTGTTACATAATATGCGCTTTTGTGCAGAGAGAGCTCTTTGTTGGCTTCTCTTTGGTGTAACATGCTGCTTAGACAAGATTTTGCGTGGGACTCAGGCTTGTTTATTATTTACCAATTTGGAAACCAGTGATACCTTAGGATTCTTTGAACAAAGTTTCCCACCTAAATATGGAGAAATAGGCCCCCACGACCTAGGACTTTTCCCTCCCAGTACCCTTTAATTTCCATGACCTTTCCCCCCGGCTTTTCCCCCCTTGTCTTTATCATTTCCCAGAGAAATTGGAACATGTACCGTTCCCTGAGTAAACCTGGTACCTTCTCAAGTCTGCCTTTGACAAAATTCCCTCTCGCCCTACCCTCGTCCTCCTCCTGTGCCCACCTTATCTGTGTCTCGAGAGCTGACCTGGCCTTGGGATCCCAGCTCTGGAAACCTCTCTAGGCTTGTGCCTGATGCCGTCTCCCGTGCCCCCATTGCCAGAAGTTGTCTTTCTCTCTTTTCCATAATCTAATTATGTGTAGTTTTATTTACATGCTTTGGCTTCTGTAAGGTTCTTAAGAGTAGGATTTAAAAAATCTTACACACCTTTGTAGATTAATACTACATAAAAGGATGTCTAACAACTGCTTATTGTGTAAATGAGTGATATTCATCTTTTTTTCAAAATGTTCTAAAAACTTTTTGAACTCTTCCCAAAGAAAGATGGAAGTTAATGATTTTTACCTTGTTTTGTTTTCAGGCATCCAATATTTGAAAGGAGAGGAGATGATTTATACACAAATGTGACAATCTCACTAGTTGAGTCTCTTGTGGGCTTTGATATGGATATTACTCACTTGGATGGTCACAAGGTAAACAAACCAGTTTTTCTGCTTCCTACCTGTCCTCTTAAAAGCCTTCATGTGTGTGGTTTTGAAATTATTTCAGCCACTTCAATCATTTAGAGCCATGGGGACTTCTTTCTCAGTCTTTTTCTGCCTCTTCTCCTCACTCTTCTGAACATCTGGACATTTCAGCTACTCAGAGTTGATTGCACAGCCTTTGTCAGCCTTGTCCTTACAGTTTCCTTTGGCAAAGCCTGACTATTGTACTTGTTTGTGTGTTTGGTTTTCTTTTCCTTTTCATTTCCCTTTTTCTTTCCCTTTTCCTTTTGAAAGCCTTCGCTTTCTTCAGCTCCCAGTGTTCTAATGAGTTTCCCTTTCTCCTTCATCCTTTCTGCCTCCTCTGAGATACGATATGAGCTTTGAGCACCGTGTTCACTAGAAGCTGGTGATCTGCTTTGGGAGTACCAGTCATGCCCCAGCTCATTCCCTTTTGCTTTTTAGGTACATATTTCCCGGGATAAGATCACCAGACCAGGAGCGAAGCTATGGAAGAAAGGGGAAGGGCTCCCCAACTTTGACAACAACAACATCAAGGGCTCTTTAATAATCACTTTTGACGTGGATTTTCCAAAAGAACAGTTAACAGACGAAGCAAGAGAAGGTGGGGGATATAATGTGTATGAGTGTATGTGCTTGTTGTATGTGAGTATGAGAACAAGGTGGTTAAAGAAGTCAGGCAATAAAAACAAAACCCTCCAGTGACATCAGACATCCACCATTAACACTAGTGAATACAAGACTAGGAATGAACTTGCCTTTCTGGAAAGGCAGTATTAAAAATTCTACTGCCACTGTGTTACAGAAGGCTGTGTAAGCTGGGCTTTGAAACACAGGGAGTGATAGGTTGTGTGGATGTGCAGGTGTGAATCACTTAACATGAATGAGCTATACTAAACTGTTCACAGAGAGGTGAGGTATACGTTAGGGTTAGAGCCATAGGGGTCACGTCTGCGATGGCTGGTTTAGAGGTGGGCCCAGGTGGTGGGTCCTAAATAAAAAGGAAGAAGGTCAAAACTGGAAAGAGAGCAAAGAAGAAGGAATGGAAGACAGCTGAAGAGATTTCATTCCATTCCGATTGCCTTTTCTCAGGGATTTATGGGATGTGTGTAGTATGTGTGCTTGAGAGACAGAGAAAGACAAGATCATCTTGGACGTACATGTGCATGTGTGGAGGTAACCTCATGTGATGAAGTTGGACGTTGGTGATTATTAGTTTAATTCAGATCATGGTTGTCGTAAGGCCTTCTGTGAGGCTCTGCGTGAAACATGCTCTTTTTACTCTAGGGAAGTCACATTTTTTGTTAATGGAATCATTTGTTTATTCTTTCTTCAGGTATCAAACAGCTACTGAAACAGGGATCAGTGCAGAAGGTATACAATGGACTGCAAGGATATTAAGAGTGAATAAAGTTGGACTTTGTTTAAAATAAGTGAATCAGCGATATTTATTATCTGCAAGATTTTTTTTTTGAGTTTGTTTTGGTTTTCAGTATGCAAGTTTGGCTTAATTTTTTCTTCTAATGATCGTCATGAATGAATAAGAGGGCTTAGGAATTTGTCCATTTTTGTTCAGAAAAGAATGACCAGCAAAAGGTTTAATAATACCTCTCCCTTTGGGGATTTAATGTCTGGTGCTGCCGCCTGAGTTTCAAGAATTAAAGCTACAAGAGGACTCCAGGAGCAAAGGAGACACAATATAAAGGGTTGGAGTTAATTGGTAGCTATTTCATTCAAAATACCAACTGGAGAAGTCTGTTTTTAAATACATTTTGTTGTTAATTTTTCTTGACTCCTGTTTCTTGTTGGTTTAGCTATACTGTTTACTTTTCCGGCTGCATTTTGGTCTGTTTTCCCTTCATTTGCCACATTTCCTTTCTTTCCTTCCTGTGAGTTGGGCTGTCTTCCCATCAAGCAGGTGGATGCACAGACCTGCAAAAACCCAGTCCCCGTACCAGTCTTCTAGAGGGGAGCTTGAAAAAACTGAATAGATAAAGATTGGGGTAAATGAATCAAGGTTACACAGAGATCTCATTGTCCTTGAGAAAGAATACTTCCTTATTTAATTTGGGAATAATAAAATCTGACAAGGACTTCTCTGTTTAGAAGTCACTTTCACATATCTGATTTCACTTGACCTGATGAAAAAGGCTTTGGTTTGTGTTAGGAACTAGGATTACCATTGGCTCTAGAAAATGAGTTTAAAGTAGAAGGGCAAATCACATTCGCCTCTCCTGCAGCACCTAATGCAGACGGTAGGTGACCTTCACTTGTCTACATTACACAGTCATGTCATACTCCACTTGTCATATACTTTTGGACTTCCTGCCTCGGCTAGCGTTTCAATGCTGTTGAACGATTTCCGCTGCGATGTGTGTGGAGGTGCCTTCCTCCAGCCACCAGGGTGGTCCCAGGGCCTTCCCACCCTTGGCTCTGCAGCAGCCAATGCTACTGCTCGCTTTTTCATTGCATTTTGCCTGTTTTACAAAAATGAGTGGGAAGGGTGAAAAAAATGAGAATTTCATCAATTTAGAATACTTAATAAGGTGAAAAGCAGTACATCTTTAACCTCTTTGGACTTGAGTAGTTCAACTTGTAAAAGTAAGGAACAAGTTAAAAGGATTATTCGAAATGCTGAAAAACATACCTTAGAAGTGAAACCACATAGATACATATGTAAGTTTAGTGAACTTTTTGTACATTTAATATTATATACCTTATTACATAATGAATATGTAATACAGTTGCCCTATTTGAGCATTTCATAGAAATAATCAAACATTTTCCTTACATACCTTAGTCCAGGAGAGCTCTTGATCATTATTTGCACTTGCTCATCCCTGCTTTTCAAAGAGTTTTGCAAGCCAATCACATACTAAGCTGGAGTTAACTAGTCTTGCTAGAAAGACCCCATAGAGAGAATACTCTTGCTGCAAATAAGAATTAGTGAGGCCTTTGTCACTCCTGTTTATCCGTGGTCCAGGCTGCCATGATTCAATGAGTTGTAAAAGAATATTCTTTCATTATTTGAGCTTCAGCTCACCTTAATGCTTTCACTGAAGCTCATTGTAAGGTGGAAAGATGTCTATCAAAGTTTCACAAATTTTCTTGTAATAAAGAAAACCATAGTAACAGCGTGGTGGTGATGGAGATGATGGGAAGATCATAAAACCAGGCTCCAAAGCCCAAGCTTTTTGCATTGTGGTACAATTCCATCCCCAGAAGTTAGTCCTGTCCAAAAATGGAGCTTTGGTCCCTGAGGCAGCAAGCTCCTACCAAGTGGTCTACAGCTATCCATCTATCCAGGAATGTTGAGCGGGGGTTCCTGGGCTTGGGAGGCCATAGTAGTCAACGTGTAAGTTCCCTTCAGACCAGAAGCTTCTATAGATTACAGACTTTTCAAGTGAAGGACTGGGAAAACTTCTTGCTCACTCAAAAAACTATTGAGTGCATACTATGGGTCAATGTCTGTTTATATGGGTGAGCTCATTTCTATGGAATAGGGGCTGTTATCCTCAATTTACAGTTGAGGAAATTGAGTTACACCTCACAGATTACAAGTATTGGTACCAGGATCTGAACCTGAGCAGTCTGCTCCAGAGCATGTACTCTGAACTGCCATGAATTCATGAATTTTACTTAGAGAATATAAATACTGTGGGGAAAGGATTTTAGGTAGTGATGGTGGGAGAAGAGCTGCCATATTTTCTTGTGTATTGTGCATTTTTTGCCCAAATATTTGAGGAGAAAATAAGGATGTGCATTATAGATGGGAATAATGATTACATACCATGGATATAATGATGGGGACAATAATCCCATGTATAATGCACACAAAACGTGTGTGCTTGTACACAGCAAAACACAGTAATAGAGTTTTCAGTCCTGAAAAGAAAAATGTCATTCCAGTGAAATATGTAATTTAGCAGAAAGGGTGTTACTGGCTGGGGATCAGACTCAATCTCTGTGACACTTGCAAAACGTGAATAATGAAGGATGATGTGTTTTAACCTGAGCATTTGTGCATTTCTAACACATTTTGGCTACTCATTTATTTGTTTGCTTCCTGGTCCTCGGCTGCATTCACTATTGATTAGGTTGCCAGATCCCTGAATCCTACTTGGGTGTTGGTGCTCAGAAATCACTGTTTTGGGGAAAAGGAACACGATATGGAAACTAAAAACCAATTTCAAGAGTTACATTGGTTGTTATTAGAAATGGGAATGGAATGAGGATTTTCTTATATTCTTTGAAAAAAGCTGCTACTAGTGTAACAGTGATTGAAGTAAATATAATACGCTAATCAGGTGGTAATAGACTGTACTAAAAAACTCATAGAAGATTCTTGTATTAAAAGTTTCCTTTTAAGTATTTATAGATATCAGTAGCTGCAGCTCCTGCTTAACCGAGGAATGGCCCTGACCACAAGAAACTGGGCAGGCATCGGCAACTCATATCGGAAATGAGAAACGCCGCCTGCGCATCCAGTTCCCAGATACCAGCAGTGAAACTGCAGGTGGAGTGATGAAACTGTAGGATGATGTGCCCAGAGACAACACAGAAACCCCCAAGAGCAGATCTGAGAAACTGCATGTCGCCAGAAATTCCTTAGTTCCACTCTTCCAATCATTCCGCTATATAAACTAGCCAGTACACCTGAGTGACCATCTTAGGATGGTGTTTGAGACGATAGTCCCTCATATTCCAGGTTGTGGGCACCTGAGTACAACCGCTCCTCTACATCAGCACCTGCCTCTCGAGTATTAGCTTTCAAGGAGGCAGGCAGCTAGACCTGCATTCGGTTACACTAGCTCTAGTAATGACATCTACCCTGAACAAAAAGGCAATACGAAGACTCCAGGAGATAAGCAGAGAAGAAAAAAGTTTGGTAAGTGTTCACTTTGGAAAAAATTCTAGTCCTTCAAATCACTGAAATTGTAGCAGGACTCACAAGCAAGGGCTGACAACAGGTCATAGGCAGTGGGCACCAGGACACTCTTTACAATGATTTATGTCCAAGAGCCCAGACCCTTTCTCTTTTCACTAAAAAATCAATATTTATGAGTGGTATAACTTTAGGCACAGTGCCTCTGCTAGGCGAGATTGGGTACATTCAGGGTGGTATGGCCATAGACATAGTGCCTCTATTAATGCAGCCAAACTGAGAAAGACATAATTGGAGGGCACTCTGGTCACAGACCTGAGTGTCAATAAAACCCCTCTACAGCTGCCTTCCCAATGTGGTAGGCATGTGGCTACCAAGCACTTAAAATGTGGCTAGTGCGAATTGACATACTGTGAGTATAAAATATGCACTAGATTTTGAAGATATAGTGAAAAAAGTATAAAATATCTCAATGGTAATTTTATACTTTGATTATACATCGAAATGGTAGTATTCTAACTGTTGCAGGGAAAATAGATTAAAATAATAAAATATATTATTAAAATTTCCCTCAGTCTCTTTTGTTCTTATCCTTTTTAAAATGTGGCTACTAAAAATGTAAAATTACAGATGTAGTTCAAGTTATATATCTATTGATAGCACTACTACCAAGTCTGTCCTCGACATGAAGGAAGTGGACTAGGACTTCGGGAGAAAGTGCTCATATTCATCCCTATTCAATTGCCTCTCATTCAATTCAGTCCAGGGGTGCACACTGTTAAGATGTTTCAGGATCCCTACTCAATCATTCTATATTTTGTCCGTGTTTCTCCACTTGATGTTATCTGATCCCTGTATTGGCTAAGACATCAAGATTTTCATCCAAATGGTGAATGAGAGTGCTGGCCAAAGAAGGGAAGGCCAACTCTTGTGTTTTGCCACTAAAAGCCTCTTCCAGGTTCTGATTCGTCGAAACATCAGGGTAAAGTCATATCAACCTCCATGGAAATAACTAACTTTGTATCTTTAATTCTTTATCATGTCTACAAGGATATGTTGAGAGGCCTTCTGAAATCAAGGTATACAATAGCCTGTTAGGAAATGAGATATGTCAACATCACTTAGCCTTACTGAGGCCTTATTTGATCCTAGGGATCAGCACTTGTACATCCAGGTGCTTACAAATGATGCCTAACATGGCTGTCATGCCCTTACCTTTTAAAAAAATTGCCCATTTCCAGTACTTGGTGTGACCCCCCCCCCCCCCCTACCCAACAACCAGCATTAGGGTGACCACTCATCCCTGTCTGCTTGGGACTTGTTTGTCTCCGGTTTTAGCACTGCGAGTCCCACATCCCCAAAGCCCTCTAGTCTCAGACAAACCTGGACAGTTGGTTACCCTAAGGTCCAGCACTGAAGAGGTCATTTGCATGGAAGCCCCTGCAACTCATGTCATTCATGATTGTCATAGGAAAGTGCAGAGTGATGTTGAAGAAATTGCAGGGGCTGGAGCCAGGCAAAGTTCTGAGAATGTTCTATGAAGGGGGAATCCATGTGCATGGAGACCTAGAGGGTCAAAGCCATGGCACAGCTGTTACACGGCAAGTCTGTGGGGAGGTCCTTCCTGGGCTGGCTGACAGAGATTGGCCTGTGTTAAAAACAGCATTCCCTTTTAGCCATTTAGGTAGAGGAACAGGGGGAATTTTTTTTTTTTTGTAAAAGTTATATATACACTTCATCCTTTATGTTGAAGTTTAAGGGAATTATTGCATGTACTGACTATATGGTTAAAATTTAAACTTAGTATAATTGTCTTTCATTCCACAGCTTTACATTTATTTTAACGAATAACTCGTACTAAGAATATAGGCTGCTTACATGGTTTGGGCTTAAAATCTTCTAAAAATATCCTTTACAATTTTTTTTTGTCTGTATATTGACATAATTCTCCCACCTTTCTTTGTTCATTTGAATCTCTTTTTATTTCTGTTTGTCTGTTTTTGTTTTTATTTGTTGTGTGGTTATTTGTTTTTGTGAGTCCTGAGCCAGCCATCTTCTTAAGAAATATGTTAAGGGTGTTCATTTTCAATAATAAAATGCATTAGTTCTTTCTGTAAGTGGTGATATTATTGCATTTCAGAATTCCAGCCACCTTGACTACTGACCGCAGGCAACTTCCAGCTGGCTCATGTCCGAGTCCCCAGCACAGATGAGCTTCTAGGCCTAGATTGCAAACACACTCCAGAGGGAAAGCTGAGCACCTGCAAGGAACATTTTTTTTAATGTGTCTTTACTTCCATGAGAGGGCGCTGCTGTGGAGGGGATGAGGCTGATGTACATCCTGTGGACTATACAAGGAGTCACGCATGGAACTTCTGTTGCCAGATTTCCAGTTTGTTCTAGAGTCATTTTAGCTCCCACTTACTGAGTAGCCACACATGCCCGCCCCTCCCCCCGTGACTGCGGCAGGGGCTCTGTGCACTCTCAGAAAAGCCCACCGTCTGTTGCACCAAGGAAGTGGGCAAAATTACATCAAGTGGGGGGAGAGAGAGAGTGAGAGCGTGCTCAATTGTGGAAAACATTACAAGATGTATTTTGGTAAAAGGCAATTAGCAGCAATTGTAGACTTTTTCAATAGAAGAGGAAAATAGTATACTCTATTGATTCATTGCACATTTACAGAGGAGCTGCTACAGACATGAATTTTGGAGGCCCTGAGGAACCAAGGTGGCCCAGGGCACAGCCCCTGCACAGAGGAGCCCAGGCAATGAAGGTGACTGCACCCTCCTCACTGACCCCTACACTCAAGAGTCCTTCCCATCACAGAGCTCCAGGGGAACTTTCCAATCTCCTGGGGGTGGGGCAGGGGGTCGTCGCTGGTCCAGGGTTTGCTGAAGATGGTGCTGGTTTATGGGAAGGCTGTTTCTAATGACACGCTGGGTCCACAGTTGAGCCCTTTCCTCCACTCCTGGACCGTGGCCTCCACCATCTTCTCCCTCAACCTTCACACGCCTTTGAAATGTCATCGTGTGTCTCACCCATGCACGGCACCGAGCCAGACCCTGTCTCCGCTAAAGCAGAAGAGCTGCAGCACAGCAGCCCCTCTGTCACCAGGGCCACCGGCTATTGTGGCTACTGCAAACTCACGCTGAAAGATGACTTCTTTCTGGCTTATGAACTCATCTATTAAGAAATTTAAATCAGACCTTTAAATATTTAGCAAATTATCTTTACTGAGAAAAAAAAATTAGGCAATTGAGATAGTGGTAAAAAACTAAGGTCTGACAGCTACCATGATTGTGGCCCTATTTCCAGAGTAGCAGGGTCCCTGGCTCTCGCCATCTGTACCCCCAATAAGTGAAAGGGGTATGTGTGTGTGAGAGACAAAGATAGAGATAGAGAGAGACACAGAGACAGAGAGAGAGAAATGGCCTCCTCCCTGGGCATTGTGGTTGTTCTCACCACAGTGGGAAAACTGGCCTCACAGTTAAGCGGCACCATCACAGAGTGGCAGAGCCCAGGCAGAACTGAGGCTTCTAGGTGGGTTAGATTTCTACTTAGTAGTGAGGCTCAGGGTAACCAGACTAGGGTGGAGGGAGAGCCTCTGGCAAGTCATCAAGTGGCACTCACATAGCGCCTCATGTGAGCTCGAGGAAACATCAACTGTTCATAGTAGAGACAGGGCAGCGCAATGGGAATTAGGGCCTAAGCCCCTCTGGCATCTACCCTAGGTCACCATGTACCCTCTCCTGCCTCTTGCCTCAGCTTCTCTGGTTATTACCTTTTCCCTAGACTTCACTTTGAGCTCAAGGACAGAGGGCTTGGGAATAACAAACTGACTTTGAACTTAGATTTCATTATATCAGAAAGTAAATAAACCTTGAACTGTTAGTTTTGGATTTTTTTACAAAAAGATCATGCTGCCATTCCCTTTCTCTACACTATTCTGATTGCACATGGTCTCTGATGGTTTAAATTTTCCTCGGTAATCATTCCCTATTCCTCCTTAAATGTGATGCTCCCACATTCCTTTTAGTTAAATACACTATTCTCTGTTCACTTCTCAAAAACGTACTGTACTTATTTACATTGAGTTGACACACAGGGTCTGGCAGAAGTAAGGCCTGCTTGAGTGTGGTTGGTAGGGTAATAATTTGGATATAATAATTTATAGTTTTAATTTGAACATTTCACCTAAAATGTCAAATAGTGTGCTTAAGTAGGATATTGTTATATTACAGAATTAAATGCTTTTGATTTGGTAATAGAAGATTTTGTAATAAAAAAGGAGCATTATTTGTGCTGGACCCTGTATTTTCCAACAGCAGTCAAATGACATAGGGGCTCTGGGAGCACCGCTCTCTTCTGTGGGGCACTACTGGCTTCACTGGGAGCTGCTGCCTGTGCACAGGTACTGCTGGACCTCGGCCTGGCTGCTGGGCACTGCCCTCTCCTGCCAAGTGAGGCCATGGAACACCCAGGCCCGTAATGAGTTCTGTACAGACTGTTGGGAAAAGTCTCTTTGCTCTTCTGTGTTAGAGGCTGTCAATGGGCATCAAAACAGGAATACTTGAACTTCCTAAGATCCTTCCTGACAGAACTCTCTTTAGCTCTTCTTATAAAAGGACTCAGATAATGAGTTCAAAGCAGAGCCTGGCCAGGAGACAAATTTGAGTGACAGGCGCTATTTTGTCGTGCCTTTGACCACAGAGGAGGCCTCAGTACCAGGCAGACCTGTTGGTCCCACCTCTACTCCAAGAAGGTGGGCTCTTTCCCAGGAGGCTCCCCACTCCTCCTGCAGATGGTATCCTGGGGACCCAGCCCACCAATCTGCGGACATGCAGAAACACAGTGTGGGAGGCAGCTGAGGCCCTAAGGCTACCCAGGACCTACTATCTATCTATGTAACTGTGCCACTTATTTTAGGAAAGAGAGAGAGAGCTCCAACTTTAAGAAGCCATGGGACATTTACATTGGAAAAGAAGTCACAGCATGCTCATCAAGTGGCAAACTAATATTTATGCAAATCAAATGGGAATACAACAAAATGTATATTGGTGTGTTATTCAAGATCCATGTTGTTAATAGAAATAAATCTTAAACACACATTTTAGGATAATAAGGTTGAGAGTAGAGATTGTGAGAGGATTAAGAGAAAAATGACCTTTTCCTTTCATTGTCTTTCATCTGTGTCAATAGGGTATGGCTATAGGTAATTTTAAAGCACCAAAGCTTGCACTGTTTTTGGGACCACTCCAGGTTTCTGTTGGGGGAAACCCATCACTAGGGAGTGCAGTGGGGGCCGTGGCAGTGTGGAGTAGGAGGAGGAGGACAGGATACAGATCCTGACTAGAATTCTGCCTCCACCACTTGTCTCCTGTGCAAATCCCTACACAGAACTTGTGTTATAAAAGATTGAGAGAAAATTCAACTATGGGGTTTCCTGATTGAACGCTATCTTGGTCTGTATTCAATCTATTATTTGACCTATTTAAGTATTTTCATTTCTATTTAAATAATCATAGTTTACTTTTTAAAATGTTATTTTAAGTTTATCGATTTTTTTTAGAAAGAAAGAGAGAGAAACACCGATTTGTTGTTCCACTTATTTATGCATTCATTGGTCAATTCTTGTATGTGCCCTGACCAGGGATCAAACCTGCAAACTTGGCATATCCAGGCGTTGCTCTAATCAACTGAGCTACCCAGCCTAGGTAAAATAATCATACTTCTCAATTAAAATTTTCTATTTGATTTTTTTTAATTAAACCTGCCTCTCCCCACCCCCTGCCCCTGCCATGTTTTGTCGTTTCTATGAATAACATGGCTAAATTCAATTTATTAGTTGGACAGGCACCTACAAGAATCACACTTGGAAGAAAGGACCATGAGAGGCCTAGAGAAGAATGTTGTCCCTAGCGAGGTCAGCTGAGCTTGGCACTGCCCTGAAAGAGCCCTTGTGGATTGCTAAGGAACAGGACTCCACAGTTACAAAGGTTTCTTCCCATTCCCTGAACACAGTCCATAATTCTTCATTGCTTTACTTCGTCACCTTATTCCTCCCAACCAGACAGCCATACTCTTCTTTTTACCTGTCTAAGTCTTGCCATTCTTCAGGGTCAAATTAAAAATGTGTACTCATCTGTGAGGCCTTCTTCCCTCTCCCCTGCCCACCCTCAGCCAGGAATGGTTTTCCTCTTCTCTTGTGAAGGCCTATTGCACATGGTTCCTCTTATGTACCACTGATGATTACTGGGACCACTCCATGATTTCATGGCTTGAAGCAAAATGAAAATGCAGAGCTCCTTGTTCAAAAATTGTTAAGAATTTCAAGACGGCTGTAGCAGAGCATTATATCCAGCACATGGCCCTTTTTAGTGCCCCGGCACCAAAAAACAAGACACATGTGTCTGGTCAGCCAGCCAGATAATTACACCTGGACACTCTAGAGGGGACTGAGAGGCCCATGAGCAAATGCAATCATTTAAATGCTCATTCAAATCCTCTCCTAGGGTACCTCCTGAACTGCACGTTTTCCTGAGCCCATCTAGCGCTCCAGTGCTGAAGCGCCTACATGCCTTGCTCTCCACCTCTTAGCACTTAGGTGAGGGTTCTGCTCCCAGACCCATGCAGGCATTCTGATCTATGCATACTATCCGTATCCCTGAGTCCTGCTTCATTGATTTCCTTGGGTTAGCCACTAGCACAAGAAACAGAGAAGAATCTATTGGTTATTTTTCACAATACCTTCATCTTCCTTCCTTTCTGTTCCTCCTGTTACCTCAGGTTGCTGACATACAACTCTTCTTTGCCAGCATGTTGGTGCCAAATATGAAGTTGCATTCTTCCACCTGTTCTATTTCTTCTGAGTGGTAATATAGGTGCTTGCCTGATGTCAGGAATGTTGAGCATACTATCTTATTTAATGCTCTCAACATTGAAGTATGCACTACTATTATTATGTCTTTTACAGATGTGTACAACAACTCAGAAGTTAAATAACTTGACAAAGATGATAAAGTTAAAGAGCCCTTTACTCTTAGCTACTGGGGTATATTGCATAAATAGGCTAATTGAAGGCAAAGATCATACCTTAGTTACGCTGTACTCTCTATGACACCTCTTTGTGCTTTCAATACTAATGTATTATTGGGATTACTAAGAACTCTTATTACTGATAGCTCACTATGTGCCAGGCCCTACACTGAGCATAGCAAGTATAATCTCTTTAAACCCTCAGCACATTACTACCAGCCAGGTTTTACTGCCCATATTTAACAGATGAAGAAACTAAGGCTCAGCAAGATTAAATCTCGAGTTAGGTCACATAGCTAGCAACTAGCAGCATCACAGTCTGTCTTGGCTCTAAACGTGAGGCTGCTCAACAAGCTAAGCTGCTCCCATGCCCTTGGCCCCCACCACTCTGACCCCTCTCTGTCTTACTCACCCTTAGCTTCCAGCTGTATCAATTCTCCCATTGCTTCAGTCTTCATTAGAATATGAGTCCTGGAGTTTCAATTGTTGCTTAATGCACTAAATGATTTGGCTGCCTCTTGCACAATCCTAGTGCAGAAAGAAAGTTGCCCATATTCTCTGTCCTGGCCCTATGCTCAGCACCCTCTCAATTTCAACTTGTCATCTAATGTCCTAACAAGAACATCAGAAGCAAAGACTTTCCATGTCCCTAAATATTTTCTAGAGATCAGACCACTAGTATAGAAGAAACGGCACTAGCTGAGAGCCTTGCTGAATTCAGGATGAATGAAGACTTGATCCTCTCTTATAGGTCTTCTACTGGCTCATGTATGTTCCATCTCAACATTCAAGAAGTCTAATCAAGGCAATCTATGGAGAAGAATGGCTTCTCTATTGGTTGGTTTCATTGTTAATACTTTTAAGAGTTCAGATAAATCTCCAGAAACCAGGAGAAATTCTCCTGTCCTACAAGTAGAAAATGCCCTACCTCCTTTCGTAGTAATTGATGAATTGTCCTTCACTTGTGCACACATGTGCACACACAAGTGCACATCCACTTGGATTGCTATGCAATTCATTTGACTCCCAATCACAAGATGATTCATCCTATTTTTTAACCACTGATGCCACCCTGGTCTATGTTAATAAGATGATGAGGTGGTCTCAAAACTAAGTCACCTGAGAAGTAACTGAAGGAACAAAGATGATCAAAGTTGAAGGAGGTTAACAGGATATAACATGGTTGTCTCTAAATACCTAAAGCCCAATGTATAGAGCAGGAAGTTGATTTAGTCCTTCAAGGAGACTCAAGACCCATTGGTAAAGTTACAAGGTAGGCACTTGTTGACTCAACATGGAGGAAACTACTTACTTCCTAGTTACTAGAGCAATTCAACAATAAAATGGGCTGCCAATGTGGTGAAAAGATTTCTGTATCTGAATGTCCTCAGGAAGAACACCAGACACTGGAGGGAGGCTCTGAGTGGAGTGAAAGACTGGCATAGAGCCCCTCAACAATCACACATAGGTCTCAGTCTGTGCTGGTCAGGAAGTAGGTGCTCAGGATTCAAGATTCAAGATGACATAGATACTTCTGTCTTCTGAGAACCCTTTCAACTCAGAGATTCCGTTCCTCCAGATTTAATGTAGGCTGAGGATAGGACCACAGCTTATACTCCTCCTGTATGCTCATAAAAGCTAAACATAGTACTGTGGAGCCAGACCCAACAGTAAGCATCTGGAAGGCAAGAAATATACCTTCCATCTGTAATACTTAGCATCTAGCAAAATGCAAGACATAAGTTTTGAAGTTAATGAATATGTGTCCCGAGAATACTCAATACAAGTCAATAAGTGGGTCCACCTAATCTACAATATTGACTCACTTTTGAAAGACCCATTGCAACTCCTGTAATGTACATGATGGATAAAGAAGTGCCCAAAGTTACTAAGGTGCAATGGGTTACTTAACTCCAGTGGCCTCATTGTAACCATACAACCCTTGGATGGTAAGGACACAGCTCTTCTGAACATCTCCATGTCCAAGGACCCCAGAGAGTGGACCATGGGTCTCATTAGATGATGATGATTTTACCTCTCATCTTCCTTCTTGTCTGAAGAATGTCACCAGCCTGGTTTTGAAGATATCAAAAGTTAATGACAGAAGCCAGCAGGAGAGAGAGATGTGATTCTCTGCATTGACTAGCAGTCCTCTGGAAAACATTAACCAGAAATCATGTAATCATTTACTTTTTATTTACTTTCTAAACCTGAAGTAGAAATAATTTCAACACCAGCTGAGCCCTCGCTAAAGTCAACAGGTAAAAGTCTCTTGTGCAATATTGATTCCCGTGTATTTTTTACTGACTAAAATTATGTGGGTAAACAAGTTTTTAAAATTCTTTTAGTTGTTAACCAAACTCAATCCATTTTCAAATTTTTTTCACTTTTCTTCAAATACAGTACACAGTCATTTTTCCTGTTGGTAAGAATAGTGACTTGCTCACTTTTAGGCAGTGTCCAGCAGCAGACTCCTCAACTTTCCTTGGGCCCTATATTCATTTGATTTATGGTTAACAGAGAAAAAGACATTGGGCTAAATCCAGGCTCCGCCTTTGTGTGCTGTGGTCAAGTTCCAGAATCTCTCTGAGCCTCTGATTCTTCTTCCATAAAGAACAGAAGATGAGAACAATACAGTTCCCATGGAGTTATGAGGATCAAAACGCAATGACAGAATAAGGAATTAACATTAGCTATGATGACGCTGTTTATCTGAAGAGGAGCCATTCCAGCCTCAGAAATCTCAAATCTCCCCATGCTTTCTCTAACCCTAAAATGATTCTCTCTTCTAAGAGACAGACAATTAAATGAGTGTCAAAGCCACACTAAACAATATATAGTTGGAAGTCCTCCAAACAAAAGAGAATGGAAATTTTCCCATAGTTTCTTATGTGACGATGAAAAGCCTGCTACAAGAATCACTGTGTTTTTGAGGTCAATTGCACACATAGAATCACCAGCCAAAATGGTAAAAGAACTTTCTTTGAAAGAGTAGAAAGTTTTGATGAAATACAAAATTTTTTTTTTCTATTCTGGGTTTAGATTATACCTCTTCCCCAGGGCTGGGACTAGGGTGGCAAGGGAGAGACCAAAGACACAATGTTTAAGGAGGTGCAACCCTGCAAATGAGCGCCTCCTTAAATTTTGCACCGTTAGCGTCTCCCTTGTTCCACCCTAGTCCAGGCCCTACTTTTCCCCATTTATCCCCGCAAATGCATTTCTTTTCAGGGCTTGGATTTTCAGATCCAGATCATGGTTATGAGGGAAGCATTGGGAGAAAGTTGGAAGAGCCCTTTCTCCACCCAAAGAAAGGGAGTAATCACCTCTGGTCACTGTAGTTTAATAATTTTTACCATGATACGCTCAGGTTCAAATCTCCCAACTTCAGTGCATTGGCACTGAGTACAAAGGGCTCTTCCAAATCATGTCCAGGGCACCTGGTGCTAAGATACCCTCACAAGAAATCTTACATGTCCTTGGACAAAGGTAACTTGCATTCCATTAAGCGATGTTTTACATTAGAGAAATAAATTCCAGTCTGTTTCCACAGGACAAATACTCTACTTTCATATAACTTATAGTTCTTGACTAATCAAATGTTGTTGGACCAAATGAGTCAACATGAGCTCCTTCAGGCAAGACGATATCTTCTCATCACTCTGCTTCGAGGCACCTAACATCACACATACAAGGTATTTAATAAATGCCCGTATGAATAAAGAAACACCACACCTACCAGAAATTAATCCTTGGCCACTCAGGGCCTAGGCCCTTTAAGTACCAGAAAGGGCAGAGCCAGGAATCTGGCCCAATGATTTAAACACCAACCACTGCCACTTCCTCCCTGTGAAAACCAATCGTTCCTCTGGCTTTTGCTGACGTGCCTTTGTCCATATCCTGTTTTGTGAGAGGCTCTCACTTCAGCTCTTGCTGCCTGGCGTGGTATTTCACCCTCTTCTAGTTCTGTCCTTCCCTTGAGAGACTCGTTTCTGTTTGGCACGGCCCTGACAGAAACAACCTCAGCAACTCTGACCCTGAGCTTTCCTGCGATCCTTCTTGTCCTGTCTCCTGCCTGGGAACCATACATCCTGAATGCTGCGTTGGAACAGTTTGAGTGCATTGCTGCCCTAATGGGGAACTCTACTGACTAATCCAGAGACCTGGTCCCAACCACAGCTGCCATCTTGAGATCTCCACCATCAGCCGCGCGCCTGGGGACTCCGCCCAGCAAGCGCCTCCCAGCGCCCTCCTGGAGGTGATTGGTCCTCTTCTGCTCCTTAGATCTTTGGGCCTGCTCTCCTCTACGTGCTCTAACAAGGCTCTGATATCTTCCATACGCTATCAGATACAGTTAGTGTGAACGGAAAGAGTATTTTTTTAATACAGTGATGTGGGCCTCATAGAAAATTGCACAGATAAGTAATTAAAATAATGAGACAAACGACAAAAAAGAGAAGTAAATGTCTGTCTCCTACTGGCATGCAAAGAAACTGGAACTGGGGGGATGGAGCTGACCCGAGAGCACTCATGAGCATGTGCACTTGGCATTTGGCAGGGGAAAATCTTTCCAAGTTTGAAATTGGTGGCATCACACATGGTGAAATACCTATGGCCTCCCTTTGGCACTCTGCTACAGCTCTTTTGAAAACTTACCGTAATATCATTTATTTCGTTTATTTTTCTTCTTCATTGTCAGTAAGTGGTAACATTTCTTTGTGAGTAAACAGAAACAATTTAAATGAGGGACCATTTTATTCAGCTTGTCACCAAAGTTAGTTTATAATTAGACATATGAAATATTTGAGATAAAACCAAAGATATTAATAAATTATATTTTAAATGAGTCTTGATGCTTCCCCCATATCTAAGTTCCCACAGAAGTCAGCAAGGGAGCAGTAGCTGAGGAAGAGAGAAAACAGTTGACCTGACTTAGCACACTATTTCAATGGAGGTGAGGAGGGGGACATAAATTGGCACCACCTTCCTGATAGGCAGTTTGTCCAGAGAAATTAAGAGCTTTAAAGACATCCAAATCAATAAAAAATAAAAATTTACCCTTTGGGGCAGTATGGATGGACCTGGAGAGCATTATGCTAAATGAAATAAGCCAGTCAGAGACAGACAAGTACCATATGATTTTACTCCTATGTGGAATGTAATAAACAAACTGAAATAACAAGCAGTAGACACAGATTCCTAGATAGAGAGCAGGCTGACAGCTTTGGGTGGGGGATGGTGAAGGGATCGAGCAAAAAATAGAAAGGACTCATGGACACGGACAACAGTGTGGTGACTGGGGAGGAGCCGGTAGAAGACGGTATAAAGGGTTATGGGAGAAAATACAGTAATAATAAACTATTAAAAAATAAAAATATCCAAATAATGAGTCAATAATTTCCCTAATAAGAATCTATCCTGAAAAAATAACTAGAACTCCAAAACTTTCTAAATAAATTTCATTCAAACTTTTATATATGATAGTGACCACTTGAGAACAAAGTAAATGTCTAACAATAAGAGAAAGGTTAAATAAATTATACACACAATAGAATCATAGACAGTCACTATGAGCATGTTTTTCAAGGCTAATAATATGGGGGATATATTCCAGTTATAATATGAAATGAGAAAAGGAGAATACAAAGTTCTATATACAGTATGACTTAAATTACGTTAAAATAATCATGTGCATAGGGAAAAAAAGGACAAAATGGAAATGTACTAAAACGTCTGTCTTTGAGTGATGAGGTTGTGGATGACTTTGTTTTTCTGTATATAGGAGGTAGGATAATAGGTCAGTTATTAACTGCTTTTTGTTTTCCTAGCATCAGCAAAACTGGACAACACTTAGTCCTTTAGAAATTGTCACCCATGGAAGATCCAAGAATAAAGATACCAAAAGAAATGCTCCAAGCAACAGACAGAAATAATCAGAATGGGTGATCAGACAGAACTTTTCTTTTTCCCCCACCCTCAGGTTGAGGTGGCAATAGAACCACCCCAAGGACAGAGTGGAAATCCCAGAGCAGGGGGAATCCAGGCCTCCCCATGAGGCTGAGGGAGGAGAATGGGCGCACAGGTAGCATGCGGAGACATCACATAGCAGGGGGAAGCCCCCAGAGCAGCAGGTGGCACTAGAGCAGTGGTGGACATTGACCGCAGGGTTGTCTAGGTGGATGGGCCTGAAGGTAGCTTCATGAAGTCCCCCACACCATAGGAGGGCACTGCAGCTCCATTTTCCAAAGTTTAAGGGAGGGGGGCTAGCACTTAGCTGAGAGAGGCCTGTAGTCTAGCAAGGGTCCCACAGCTGAGATAAGGGGGCCCCTGATCAGGGATGCAGGAGGACTTTTTTCTGTGGATTAGATGGGGCAAGCAGGACCTGAGTTCATGGTGGACACACCAGGTGGATGTGACTAAGGACAGATGAGACAGCTGATGCCAGCATAGGCCTTTGCAGCCTGAGAAAGCAAAGGAGAACACCCCTTTCTGCCTTTGACTGAAGTGGTATTTGTATAAGTCGCCTGCTCCGCACTCAGGCTTGCTCTTAACTCCAGAAGAAAGAAGCAGCATACGGGACAAACAGTCCTTGGTGGGACTGGGTTTCAACCCAAGTGTGTGGGAGAACAGCTTACCCGGAAGCAGTTAAATTTTCACAAAAGAGTGCGCAGAATCAAAAATTCAAATGTGTTGTGGAAAATAAAGTTATAGTTTATACAGCTGAGCTCGTAACACATGAAATATTCACTCACTGCACATATTTTTTGTGATTTTCAGATTTTATTACTAATGACCATATTTTATATTTAAAAATATTATTTTTTAAAAAGCAAAAACAAAAACAAAACAATACAAAAAAGAAAAAAGTAAAGCATAGCTTCCACAAAAAGTTACTCATGAGTCAAGACCCTTAAGAAAATGGGGCATAAGCTGGAAGAAAGGCTGAGGGAAGGTCCTGAGGGTCATCTTGCCAGAGGGCCAGAGCTTGTTTTGTGTCTCTAAGAACCAGGATTCCTCTGTCAAAGAGAACCTGGAATCCTGACCACAACTTCTGAACTTCTGTCATTAAGATTCTCTTAGTGTAGGAACAGCTGGGAGCAAATGTGGAACTTGCCCTTGTAGCTACTTCCTGTGCCCTATCACACTACCCCCCATCTCCCTGCTCCCCCAGCAAATCGATATTAGTAAGCCCCCCCCAGAAGGCCCCCTCTTGTTTAAAAACCAAGTTTTATTCTCTGAAGCAATACCAAACAACAGAACAAATCCACTCCCACACAATGATGACCTCTACATGTTTGAAGAACATGTTGGTCTCCATGTAGGGCTCCCGTGCTCCAGGCTGAACCAAGCCAGGTCCTCTTATGATATTTTCCAAGCCTCTTGCTATGCTGCCCACCCTCCTTGGAAGTTACCCCTGAGGCTGTCAAAGGCCAATTTAAAGGCAATGCTTCCTAGAACTAACATTGTGGCCCTGTGCTCTGACCAGAAAGACTTCAACTCTGCTAAGGCTTCGAAGGATATTTAGGAGGCATTTGTGTTCCGAGCGGCCCCGGTGGTGTCTCAGCCTGCAGTGGGGGACTCAAACGCAGAGCTTTGCCGAGTGAGTGGCTGTTAGTCCGGGCCTCCCCTGTGCTGCACTTGTGCATTTGCTGCAGGCTTGGGCCGCAGGCAGCACAGGGCCATTGGTGCCAATCACACCCAGCTACCCAGGAGACCCAGGCCAGGATCGTCTGTGCTGTCACCCGCAGGGCCCTGGCAGTCAGGTCTGGAGACAAGAGGATGAGGGAGTACAGAGCTCCATGCCGCTCTGCTAGCCATGGCCCTCCCTGGCTCTGCTGAGGGAAACCCCTTGTCTAGCCTCCATTCCCCACTTCGAGCAGAAATATTTCCCTTTTTTCTTTCCTCCAGGAATCTTACCTAAGATTTTGGCATCTCCTACAGCCCTCCCTTCTCACTCAAGATCATCTGTACCTTTGCTATATCTGCAGGTCTTGTCTTCCCTCCATAGCCCCTCCTGGAGGAGATAACCCTCCCTGGCATTACCTGATTTTATCCTACATGATTACATGCTAAACATCCCCCTTTTTACCCTCACTGGCCCCATGGTGCGCTCAGATCACAACAGAAGGCACTCACTCTGCTGTTAAACCCACGGCACTCCAGGGCTGGCTGTGCCAGCCCACCGCACCTCGATGCACACCTCACCCCCTTAGGCTCCTCTCTTTGCTGCTGTGACCATGTTCCAAGCCAACTTTAAAGCATCTCCCCCACCTCATTCCCAGAAGCATTGATTTGGCAGACTTCTTGGGGGTCAGCAATGTCCTAACCTGTTTGTTTTTCCAGGGCTCATGTTTGCAGGAATTCTCTTGGAACAACAACAGAAATCATCCCATGCCCTTGTGCAACTCCTCTGGGAGGCTTCGACAGATAAATAAAGCTCTTGGCCCCTCCATTGATCTACCTTTCCCGGCAGAGCACCTGAGTTACTTCTGAAGCCTCCAGCATCTGCCCACCTTCCAGGGTCTCTCTGGAGCAGCCATGAAGTTCCTCGTTCTGGTCCTCTGCCTAGCTCAGCTCTGGGGCTGCCACGCTGTCCCGCCTGGCCTAGGTGCTATGGTTTATAGAGAACTGAATTGTGATGACCCAGAAACAGAGCAGGCAGCCCTGGTGGCCGTGGACTACATCAATAAGTACCATGATCGGGGCTACAAACACACCTTGAACCAGATTGACAAAGTGAAGGTGTGGCCTCGGGTAAGTGAACATGTTGCGTATGAGCTGAAAGAACCTGTTTGTGGAGTTCAACTGGGCATCTCAAAAGATCATACCTGCCAGCACAAATGAAACTACAGAGGGGTAGACTCTAATTTCTTCTCAGGAGGGAGGGAGGGAGGGAGGGAGCAAGTGGAGGGCAAGAGAGGACACATCCTGTTCTGTAGGCATGAGTCTCAAGGGAAGTGCTGGGCATAGGGGAGATTTGTAGGACGAGAAAAGGATATTTTGAAGTTCAAAGGGAGAAGGTGTGGCTTGCTAGAGAAACTAGGGTGCAAGAGACTGGATTCTAGCTGCCAAATTATCACGGATTAGAAATCGTTTGTCTTTCTTTGCTTCTGTTTCTCTGGATGAAGACTGAGAGTGGATGAAAATAGCATTTGACAATTTACCTACTGCAGGCCAGGCCTTTTCACATGTATTATCTCCTCAACTCCTCCCATTCCCCAGTCCTACGTATTGTTTCTGTCTTACAGAAAAGAAAGCCAAGAATCTGACAAATTGCAGTGTTTTTTTGTTTTGTTTTGTTTCGTTTTGTTTGTTTTTGCCCAAGGTCATATAATTAGTGAGCACTGGTCTGGGGTTTGATTCCAAACCTGTGTTTCTTCCTCTTTACAAGCTGCCTCCAAGATCTCACAGCCCAGAGAGACAACTTGGCATAAATGAGATTTACTTCCTCACAATGCTAAACAAGAAACCAATACAGTCAGTGACAAGAAAGATCAAGCTAAAAAAATATGCCTTGGGGATCAGTTGAGGCATTTGGAGAGGTGGGGAAAAGGCATCTATCTACTGACTATTTAGAAATTAGATTGTATATCTGATGAGGAGTAGTTCTTTCAGCAAATGTTGATTACAATCCTTCTGTGGGCAAGAACCAGTATCAGATGCTGTATTAGGTTGAACCATATGAAATTGCCATTTTTGTATATTAAAAGCAGTCAAACAGTGGCATTTTAATGGTTCAATACAATACAAAAGTGAGAAAAGACATAGTGCCCACAAGAGGTTTACAATCTAGAAAGAAAAATAAGGTAAACATCAGGATGTCTGGACTGACTAATATCTGATCTCTTAATGGGACAAAATATCGAAAATCAGGATTATCCCAGATGGACTTTAGGAGCTCTGCAACCATACTGAAGTCCAGAGAAAACACGGATTCAGGGGGAATAACACATAACATGCATGGTAGAGGAAAAGGTAATGAACAGATGTGGTTTTCACTAAAGGCAGAGCTTACGAGTTACTTTCCTTGAGATACCCAGGGATGCGCAGCTCCTATTCCCTATGGCCCTGAGTGTTTTCAGGAAGTTAACTTGGGCACATCTGCACATCATAAAACATGGCTTTTTCCAGGGGAGGAGATTCTGAGGCTTCAGAGTGAATAAGGCAGAACAGATATGAGACAAGAAGTGGGCTGAAATTAAAAAAAGCATACTTATACCTTCTTGATTTTCCAGGCTTTGAAGAAAGGATACAGTAACAGGTTAACTGGCAAGAACAATTCCAAGGAGTTTTACAAGCTCCCCTGTCATTGGCTTCCCCACAACTACTTCTGGTCTGTGCTAGAGACTTAGAACACAGCATTCTGTGTCAGAGGCGTGCCTCTTCCCCTTCACCACCAGCAGGGGACAGTAGAGGGCAGCAACTTTGTATCAGACATTCACAAACCAAAGACAAATCCAAGGACTTTCCCTTTAGGGAGGAAAAGGAAATGGGGAAGGAAGGAAAGTAGATGAGAGGGAAGAAAAAAGGAAGCTGATGGAGGGATGGAGAAAATAAACTAGGTATTATAAGTAGACTGAAAAGATATTATTCTACAGCACCTTACTTTGCTGCTTAACTGAGAAAAATCCAAAGCTGACTTTTTCAAAGCTGCTTGGAGGGCAAAATTTTAAAAATTAAATAGGTGTCAGCACTCATTTTTAGCTTCCAAGTAGAGCTCAGAGTGATGACTGTAGTTCCATCAGCGTGTCCAGGCCCATGTCCCCTTCTTCAAGCACCTGCCCAGCCAGCAGAGGATGACCAGCAGACCCTGTTGGGGTCCGGTCCACAGGTCAGGTCAGAGCTGGATGGGGTTGCAGACTCACAGTAGAAATGACTTTCCTCACCTCTCCAATAGGGGGTGGGTTTAAGCCTAATGCAGGCGGCGGAGGGAGTCACACTTTGGCCTCCCTCAGGAACAAGGCAATAGGCTTTTTACTTCTTCACTCTATGTCTCCACAGCGGCCAGTGGGAGAAGTGTTTGAGATTGAAATAGACACGCTGGAAACCACCTGCCATGTACTGGACCCCACCCCTGTGGCCAATTGCTCTGTGAGGCAGCTGACACAGCATGTGAGTGGCACTCTTAGAGTGACTGCAAGGGTGGGGATGTTGGGGGGTGCCCAGCCATTTCCATCGTGGTTCTGCAGAGAGCAGGCCCATTTATCCAGCTGCCCAGCCTGCCCTCATGGCTAGCCAGTGTGCAATTTCTAAAGCTGCCATTTGAAGCCTCCTTCCCTAGGGCTGATCTTTTGCAACAGTTCAACTTCCTTACTGTAGCCCTCCCTGCAACCGGAGAGTGTAATGTGTCAATATCATCCCAGGAAGGTGATTTTGTGAGGCTCACCTTTGACAACCATGCCTGAGGGACCCACTCCTCCCTGGGGTGAGACGTGAAAGGCTAGCCCTCCTCCAAGGCTCTCACTATGGGTTTATTTCTCTAGGCTGTGGAAGGAGACTGTGATTTCCACGTGTTGAAACAGGATGGACAGTTTTCCGTGTTGTTTGCAAAATGTGATTCCAGCCCAGGTAGAGATGATCCTTCTTATTTTGTCTGACCTCATGGAAGGTGTGAGGAAGGAACCTGCCTTGTTATCGAAGTGGGTAGTTCTAGATGCTTTGATGGTGAGGAAAAGAAGAAGCCAAATTTCCTGGGTTCTGGGATTGTAAAACTGTTTTAGGGAGCTGTTTTCAATTGGAGGTGAAAATTGCCCCCTGTTGAGAGAGAGGGACTCCTGCAGGAATGTCAGCAAGACAGGAGCCACCTGAAGGTTTAGTAAGAAGCAGAGAAAATGCCTGAAACCATTTGGATCATGTCTTAGCCTTTTCTAAATAAGCAGAGCTGGGGTGAACGCGGCGGAGCATTACAGCTGTATCCATTTCTTCTGAGTGTAGACTCCGCGGAGGACGTGCGAAAGGTGTGCCCAGACTGCCCCCTGCTGGCTCCGCTTAACGACACCAAAGTGGTGCACGCTGTAGATGCTGCACTGGCAACTTTCAATGCTCGTAATAACGGCTCGTACTTCAGGCTTGTGGAAATTTCCCGGGCTCAGCTTGTGGTAAGATTGAGACCTTTTGACAAATTGGACAGTTTTGTGGCACTTGGGGAAGGCATGTGGTGAAGGAATAGTGAGGGACAGAGCAAGTGCAGAGGCAGCAATGAGAAGGCAAGGAGGGTGGCAGGGAAAAAAGAGGAAAAGTCGGGAGAGTATGAGGACCCTGAGTGTCATGTGGACCCAAAGAACCTCCAGGGCCTCTTCCATGCTGAACCACTCTAACATAAAACAGCCAGACGCTGCCTGGCCCAATTCCTCAGTTCTAATTAACACCAGGACTCTCTGCTCCGTGGGTAGGAGTTCCCACATTATCCAGAAGCACTCGCTGGGAATTTATGGGTCTCCACACCTTTACCATCCATCACCACTGACCATCTGCAGCACTCTCATAATTGATACTTATAAGGTACAAGCCTATTCACGCAGATAGGCATATACTGGCAGGATCCTAAAATGCCCTTCGAATCACTGAAAAAAAAAAATCTAATTGTACTGTGATTAACATAGTTTAGTACATTCAAATGCAACAGAATTCTAATATTTAAGAAAACAGGTATTCTGGATACCAGCCATGGCACACTTGGAAAAGCACTGTATAGGCGATAATTCTGTTAACCAGAATATGTGCTTCTCAGAGCACGTCCACCCCCAGTCTATGCCAAATAACAGATATTTTATTATTGTAAGTGTCCATATGCTCCTTAAGAACTACAACCCCCCCATAAATATCTTCCATATTCTCATTTCTATTTTTCATTTGATCCTGCTCTATATAATTGGTAGCAGAGGTATTGATTAATCTCTTTATTTTCCCACCCCTTGGAGTAACCTGAACCTTGGGTCTCGAAGTGCAGCCCCAAGAGGGAAGGCTGGGGTGAGGGAGGCAGGCTTCTCACTCAGATTAGTGTAAGGTTGGTCTCTAGGCTCCTGCTTCCTATTTAAAAACTCACTCTGCCCTGAATGATGGGCAGTGGATACCTGCACCTCCTTTAGGGGAGACCCACCTCTGACTTCCGTATACAAGCACTTCAGAACACGAGGCCACAATAAGCACCCCATGCAAGCCATTGGGGCCATGTGATTTCTGGCCACTCACTGTGGTTTCTGTGAAGGGTGCTCCCTGGAGTGTGCAATGTCTTGGCCCTTGCCACTTCTCTCTAGCCTCTCCTTTCCTGCCTTTTTCATGTTGTCATGTTGCCTCACGAGCATTTCCATTCATTCTCATCAGCCTCTTCCAGCATCAACCTATGTGGAGTTCGCAGTGGCTGCCACTGACTGTGTTGCTAAAGAGGTCACAGACCCAGCCAAGTGTAACTTGCTGGCAGAAAAGGTGAGTCCACCAGTCCCTGGGATGGCAAATCTGGTCATAGAATAGAGCATCATTAGAGCAAGCTAGTATCTTGGGGCTGTGGATGAAGATCACAATGCAAAATATCTACTCTCTGTGGGGCTGGGTCATGCCAGGCCGTCCTCTGAGATATCAACGTCTCCCTTTAAGAGCTGCCTCCTAATCATCTCACCTGATGGAGTTCCCTGAAGTTAGGAAAAAGAGACTGTTCGTAACTAAGCCAAGTCATGCCCTGTTGCTGGGACCGTGAAGCATAGATTTTCTAGATTACTTCTGATATGAAATCTTTCCAGTCCTTGAGCCAATAATGCCTACCTCTAGGAATTTAGCCTATAGAGATCATCAGAGATGTTTGACAGAAATATATCTCTATACTATGAAACTAATGCAAAATAGTATTGAATGTAATTGGCCCTGACTGGTGCAGCTCTGTTGGTTGGGCATCGTCCCACAAAGTGAAAGGTCACTGGTTTGATTCTCCATCAGGGCACGTGCCTGGGTTGCAGGTTCAGTCCTGTCAGGGCGTGTAAGAGAGGCGACCAATCAATGTTTCTCTCACACATCTATGTTCCTGTCCCTTTTTTTCTCCCTCCCTTCCCCTTTTTCTAAGAATAAATAAAGTCTTAAAAAGAATATCGAACGTAATTGAAAAATAAAATTTTAAAAATAAAAAGAAAAAAGTTTCATAATTTAAAAATATATCTATAAAGATGATTAATCACAGATACAAAATGACCCCCAAAAGAACTGAATGTCTAATAGGGGAGAGTCATTGAATAAAATATGGCACATCGGTAAATAGAAAATTATACAGACACTAAAAATCATGTTTTCAAGGAATAATGAATGATGTAAGAAAACACACTCATAGTAAGTGAAAAACAGAATACAAAGTGGTATGGTCACAATGATTTCAATTTTTAAATGATATTTAACAATATTTTAAAACAAAAAAGAAAGACATGGATGTTAATGGAAGCTCTCTTGAGTTACCACCCTTTAGGGGATTATGCATGATTTTTTCCACTATCAAAAAGCATTGCTCTATTTTCCACATTCTATAAAGAATTATATTTTATATATCCTCTGTAAGCAGAAACTATAAACTTTAGGAAAATACATTTGAAGAGAGGAATTAGGAATTCAAGGTTTTTTTCCTTCCTTTGATGTGTTGGAGTATCGGTGAAACTGGAGAGAGAAATCCACTTATTGAACTAGTTCAAATAATTCCTGTTTTTCTGTGGCAGCAATATGGCTTCTGTAAGGCGATAGTCACTGAGAAGGTTGATGGGGAAGCTGTTGAAGTGACCTGTACAGTGTTCCAAACACAGGTAACGGCATCACAGATACACCTGACCTCATCTTCAGAATTCAAAGACCCCTTGACATTTATGCGGTGTGTTTGTAATTATAGGGCATTTGCTGCCCTGTCCCTCTGAGCCCCTCAATGATAAATAGCACTGAGTTATATGGAACCATCAAAAAAATGGAAGGGTACTTCAGCCATTCCCTCCCTTCCCATGAACTGGTGCCTGCAGGGCAGAACCATCCTATCAAGGAGTTGACAAGGCCACTTTTTATTTGCGGGGAGTAGGAATGGTCTTCTGGGTTGCAGAGACCAGGTGGCCATAATCTGCTCAGTAGCCCCCAGTGGCTGCAGGTGTAGATGACAAAGTGGGTGACCCTGCCGGTGAAGGTTAGCCACCAAGTGGGGTGCTCTTGCTCGTGGACATGTGTAAGTCCACAATCCCTGAGACAATTGGTGAGAAGGGGGTACCATAAGCCAGCTACCCTCCCTTCAGCTCTGATGACAATCTTTTGCTCATAGGGAGTCCTTATTTTAGAAAAATGTTTAATTTTTTTATTTTGCCAGATTCCTTGAAAATAAAAATTATTACTGTGAGAAAGTTGGGTGGGGTTCCACCCAGAAGCATGGGGGCTTTGCCTGGGAAGGGAAAGATAGCTTGCTAACCTAAGGAAACGGTTCTCTCTCCAGCCTGTGTTACCACAGCCTCAGCCAGACACCAATTCACCCACCCCGGGGGACGCCTTAGCTGCGCCTCCACCTCCTCCCGCTGACCAGCCAGCCGCTGGCGTGGCGGTGGGACCCCTGGCGGGGGTAGCTCCTCCGCCAGCCGCGCTGGTGAACCGCGCGCACTACGACCTGCGCCACACCTTCGGGAATGTGGCCTCAGTGGAGTCGGCCTCAGGAGAGGCGGTCCAAGTGGGGAAAGCACCCACAGCGGTGCAGCCTGACGCGGCTGCTGCTATCAAGCCACTCGTCCGCCCTTGCCCCGGGAGGATTAGACACTTCAAGATCTAGATGAAGGTCAAAGATGAGGAGGATTGGCAGAAAGAACATAGCCACCATTTTGTCCAAGCCTGAGTAGGGTAGAGGAAGGGACCTTGTTTGCTATCAAAGCAAGTGGTACATGTGGTCTAGATTAATATCAAGCCTTGAACCCCAACTTCTCTTCATTCTTCAGAAAACAGAAGCAGAGGGGGTTACGGTTATGTTTGATAAAAGGTGTAAAGTTGGCCACTTATTGATTGCCATTATTTTGATGATAAGCCACCACCACTGTGTTCTCTGCCTTCTTTGACCCCACAAAAACAATGAGAACTGTAACTTTGACAGGTGCTGTTGCCAAGCTTATATCTGCTTGTTAATAAAAGTGTCCGAAGGACCTTCCTTAATAAAGAAGGTTCGAAGCTGAAATGTGGTCATGATCATTGCCTACTTCCTCCAAGCACACGTGTGTGGACTGTCTTCCCAGCAACCATGCCACAAGTGTCCCTAAGCAAAATAGACGTGTAAATACAAACAAAATAGAACAAAAGTCTGCTATGTTACTATACACAGGAAAAAGTGAGACTAGAATCTGCTCAAAACCCATAGAATATGCCCATTTCCTTATGAGAAAATAATTCTTTTCATAAAGGTCAAAAATAGTGCTAAAGGAGGACCAAGTGACTGAACTTCATACAGACAAATCAACCATTGTTTTTCCCAATATCCAAGTAAGGAGAGAATGGTAATTAACATAGAGACCTCACTTTAATTATATGTTTATGATGTATGTTTCAAATAACTGTTGATTATACTGTATACACTTCATGTCATGATGCAGGATTGGTCTTTCTAGCTAATCCATTTTAAGGCTTCAAGTGAAAGCTCTGGTTTGAATAGAGGAGGGTTACCTGGACAGGTAAATCCAGTGGACATTTGTAGACACTATTCAGGTGCTCAAATAACATAAAGGAATAAACAGTTCCCACTAGAGAATTGTGCCTAGACAATCAGTTTTTGTTCATTAGCATTAGGTTGTTCTTCTCCCCTCCCCTCCCCTCCCTTCCTCTTTTCTCCTCTCTCTTTCGATCTCTCAGCAATGTTTGCTTTTAGTCTCAGCCCACAGTGCAATTGACAATCTCACATCTACGTAAGCATTAGCACCTACACCTGAAGAAAGAGAAAAGAGTCGTCAAGAAGAGCCAAGGAAGGAGCTATTCCAGGGGAATAGCAGGCATGAAAGCCTAGAGGCAGGTAATAGGTTGATGTAGCCAAGGATGAGAAAGCAAGCTGGGCTGAAGCAAGCAAGAGGAAGAAGTGGAGGGCTGTAGAAGATGAGGTTAGAGAAATGGATGGGAGCCAGGTCATGAGCAGCCTTGAGGTCCCCAGAAGGAGTTGGAATGTTGCTCTTAGTGCACTGGGCAACCATTAAAGGTTTTAAGCAGGGCAGTGTCATATTCTGATTTATGTTGAAAGATCCCTGAGGCTCCGTGGTTCTCAACCTGGGGATGGGGTAAGTTGGGATGAGGCAGCATCACCTCCTGCTCAGGAGGGTGTTTGGAAGTGGAGGCATTTACTTAGGATACTACTGGGCAGAGGTTAGTGATGCTAAACATTCTGAAATGAGCAGGACAGCCTGACCAAGGAAGTCCCAAAAATGAACAATGATTATTTGATGCTCCAAATGCCAATAGCATTCACCTTGTTAGTTGCTGTAGGGAAAATGGAGATTAGCTGGGCAAGAGTAGCTACAAGATAGGAAGTGACTGGAGCTTTCTAGGCAAGAGGTAAGTATACCTTAGACAAAGATGTTGGGCAGCAGATGTAGTAAAACAAGGATATAAATTTGCAGGTAGGACTCCTAGAACTGCTGATAGGTTTGATGTGGGGGTGAGAAAGAGAAAGGTGAAGTGTAACTCCCAGTTTTGCGGCTTTGCTAAGTAGGTAGGCGGTGGTGCCATTTAGTGAGGCAGAGGGCAGTGGTTCATTTCACTCGAGTTACCTCAACTTCTCTCTATCTTGAAATCGTGCGGTTTATTATTCTATGTCAGGCTAACCCATGCTTCTTAAGGAAGTGGTGAATCCAACAGACCTATGTGAGCTGGGCCAAGTTGCTTTACCTTTCATTTCTCATTGCCCTAATTATACAACCCGGTGTATACAACAGCCTGGAATGGCTGTGAGATTAAATGAGATGCTGGAAGCAGATACTTGGAAACTTCTTGACACACTCTTGGTCCTCAGTGATGGTTTTCCCTCTCTGTTTCCCTCTTTTTTTGTCCTCTGAATTGCATGTCTTCAGAAGATCACGGGTTTGATCACTTAAATGTGTACTCACTGCTTGGCAAGCCCATTTTCTCTCATTTAAACTCTTAGTCGTACACAGATAACTTCCAACTTTACAGCTCCCGCTTGGGCCTCTTTTATTGAATTCCAACACTGCACTTCCAAATGTCTCCAGGGTTTCCTCTCTTGAATTTACCTACATCTGTTTCCTATGTGATTTATTTATCTAAGTGAAGACTTAGCATTATCCGAAGCGTGCTTATTCTAGAAAATTTCTTCCCAAGAATAAACATAGAGAGGATGAGTTATGGATCTGTTAAATTTATTGTGCTAATTGAACATTTTTACATTAATGCTGCTCTTTATCTTCCCAAAATCATTTTTTAACATTTTGCAGCATGCTCTCTCCTAAATTAATAACATTGCATATGTCCCATTTACTTGCCTTCTTAGTAGCTTTTTAATCACTTCTAATTCCTATTCTAAAGTTATTGAATTTCAGGTTTATTTTTCAATACTTGTGCCAATTAACAATATGTGATGGATGTTAAGATAATACAAACATTAATTTTCCAATTAATGATTTTCATGAAAGATGGGGCTCGTGTTGACACGTTCCTATTTCTGCACTGACATTTTAGGATCTTTTACCACTCTCCCTAAAATGTTCATTCTGCTCTGACATTGGGATGCCCATTCTCATTTTTGTAATTATGACTCTGACACCCTCAGGGGCTCCCCCACATTCACCAATGGCTTTAGGGTCTCTGTTTTCCAGCCGTAGCCAATTTCAACACCCCTGCTTGATGGCCCATCCCCACAACAACTCTCCCTGTATCTTGCCTCCTGTACTGTTTCTGCGACCCTCTTGTTCCCACCATCACACCCTCATGGGGGAGTTGCCCTCATCCTGATGTCAAACCTTTCTCTGCCCTTACATGCCTTTTGTCCACTTCTCAGTCACCGTTGATCAGGTTAAACTGGTTGTTCAGCCTCACTGAGGGCTTCAGCCCCTCTCTTTCTATGTATTGTATTAGTCCATCTGTCAGGCTCCTCCTGGTTTCACTTCCTTGTTTATGTGGCCCAGTCCTACAGTCAGTCATTTCAGTGACATGCACACAAGCATCCTTTTTGAGTCTTGACCTCTGTCCTCTGGACCACATGCCTTTCCAGGGACCAACTCCAGCTGGACTTTCCCATGCCTGTTCACAGCCTGCTGGATCCAACTGAAGGGCTTCCCACAATATGGATCTTGATACCCTGATAAATGTTGCTTTCTATCCTCAGATGGGACCAGGAGGCTATTCCCTCTCATTATCCTCATTTTTATTCTGTTTCCCATTCCACACAATGATTAACTCATGTATTTCCCTCTCTCAAGCCCCTGACCACACTCCTACATCTCTACACTCAATAGATTGAAATTCCCAGTTTCCAAATAAAATAAATGTTCCCAGGTAAAAATTCCTTCCACTTCCCTCCAAAGTCATTGGTTGTTACCTCCTTCTCGCTTGCTCAGATTAGATGTCTTTCTCTTCTCTCCAGCTGTACCCCCGCTCCATCCTACCTTCTCACCTTCCTTAATTACTTTGCTCTCCACAGCATCCTGCCTACCCTCACATCAGCCTCACCCTTCTTACTGACCACAGACTTTCACATAGTCCTCATCCTAAAAAGTCACTCTCCCCTTGATCCTGCATTCCTCCCAAGCCACTTCACTATCCCTTCCCTCAGCCATCAAACCTCCTTTTTAAAAATGTTAACTTAATTTTTTAAAACATTATATGCCCTTTAAAGAAAATTTTGAAAATATTGAGAAGCTGAAAGAATAAAAATAAGTGCCTCCTATAGTCAAGTCCTATGGCTCAGCTCTAGACACTATTTACTTTTTCATATTGTATTCATTTTATCTCCCAACCCTACTCCAAAGAGGTTGAATGAATACTTTATGAATCAGTATAATTACCCTGTAGTTTCAATGGTCTATCCAGCTATTAAGCTTATAACCTAACATTATAATGTCAACATTTCTGCAACTACATAAGCCTCACAAACATAATTTGTGATGACTAGTTTGTATTCCAGCAAATGGGCATATCGTAATTTACTTAACCAGTCTTTTATTGTTGTTCATTTAGGTGGTTACTACTTTTTTACAGTTGTGTCATGACAATTATTAAAGACAAGACAACAGGCCCAAAATGGAGTTGGTTAAACTAAGCCTCACATCACCAAACGAAGACAATTTAATTACAGTTTTGGCTCTCCCAGAAATGAGCTCTTAAACTAATCAATGAGGAATTGCCTGATCAGTGCTAGTGAGGTGATCTGCCTGGTAGACCCCTGCCATCTTCATTCAGGGGCGTCCTACCTGTGGCCCGCAAGCCACATGCAGCCTGGGATAGCTGTGAATATGGCCCACCATAAAATCATAAATTCACTTAAAACATTATGAAATTTTTTTTTGTGATCACATGTCATGATGTACTTAATGTGTGCCCTTCTTCTTCCAGTAGGGCACAGGAGGTGCCAAAAGTTTGGACACTCGTGCTTGAAAGTAACTGTGCAATAACTAATTCACTTTTTTGTCTAATATAATTTCTTTGTTCCCCACTCCTTTCTGCTTATAAAAGTCTTCCACATGGCCCTTGCTGGTGTGGCTCAGTTGCTTGGAGCATTATCCCATAAACCAAAGGGTTGCAGGTTTGATTCCCAGTCAGGGCACATCCTGTATCTGATCCTCTGGCTACCCCTTTCCTTTCTGAATTCAATCCTTTCTTGTCCACAAAGCCCGGCTTTCTCCTCTGTAGCCTTTCAATCTCAGAACTGTTCTTTTCTTTTCTAGCTTACTTTCCTCTGCTTGTCCTGTAAATATTAGTTTTCCCAGAGTTTCACTTCGATAGTCATCTTATTACCTTACCTCCCAGAGTGAGCTCATTGCTATCATTATCTTAGCCTCCACGTGGTACTGATGGTGATCTACTCATCCCCTTTAAGCTTCAGGTCCATATATCCAACACCTATTATACATCTCCACTTAGAGATCTGTTAGGCCCTTCAAATTTAACAGTCCCAAACTCGCTTCTCCATTTCCTCCCTTCCCAAATCTTCTCCACTCCTGTGATAGCAACACAACTCCTCAG